AATCCTAGGACCCTGGGATCATGACCTGAGCCGAAGGCAGACGCTTAATGACTGAGCCACCCAGGCGCCCCTCGTGTTGTCATTTTATTGTTGAGTTTTAAGGGTCTTTATGTAGCCTGGATACTGGATTCTTATCAGGTGTATGGTTTGCAAATATTTTTTTTTCCATTCTTTGCACTGTCTTTCATTTTCTTAATAGTGTCCTTTGAAGCGCAAAATTTTTTAATTTTGATGAAGTGCAATTTATCTGTTTTTTTTTTCTTTGATTGCTTGTGCTTAAGGTGTCATATCTAAGAACTATTACCTAATCCAACACCATGAAGATTTGTGTGCATATTTTCTTTTGGGGGTTTTTATATCTTTGGTCCATTTTGAATTAATTTTTGTGTATGGTATGAGGTAGGGATCTAAGTTTATTCTATTGCGTGTAGATAATCTAGTTGTCCCAGCATCACTTTTTGAAAAGACTAATCTTTCCCTCATTGAATTGTTTTGGTACCCTTGTCAGAAATCAATTGGCTGTAAACGTATGGGTGCTATTCAGAGGATGTTGTGCCAGAATGTAAATCAAGGAACTAGGAAAAGAAACAAGTCAGCTTAGTTAGTTAATTGATTTATGTCCTGGAGCAAGCTTCTTATCTCTTTCTGGGCTGGTAACAGTTTACTAACCAGCATGTATTTATGGGCCACATTTTGAGTAGCGCTGCTCTAGATCTTTGCTACTTTAAAATTCCACTGAGGAGCAGCATCCTGGGCCCTTTCCTAGAGCTACTGGATTAGAATCTGCTTTTAAACAGGATCCCCAGGTGATTCATATGCCTATTAAAATTTGAGCAGCACTATTCTAAATCAGATTTTAGATGACTTTAAAGATCTGTTCAGTAAGTACAGGATTAATTAATGAGTAAGACTCAGGAAAGGGAGAGTCAATGTGAGTATGGGGAGGAGAGTAGTATTTGAGACTGCTTACATTGCAGAAGCTCAGGTACCTTGACTCTCATAGAACACCCGGGCCAGACTAGATCTCACAGTGTTTCTTTTCATTACTCTACTGGACTTGATGTTTTACTGTGCCTGTGAATAACTCCTTGAAGAAAGTTATAAAGGAAAGTCAGAGTTATTGAGGGGAAAAGGAGCAAAGAAAAGTAAGGCAGAAGACTTTCACAAAGCATCCAGTAGAAGAAGTAAACAAATTTCAGGCCTTAGAACTGGATTCCTTCACCTTTAAGTTAAAAAGAAGCTTAAATTTCCACCACTGTGGAACCCTGGTGTGATCCCAGAAATAAGTGGCAATAGTGATGAGTCATAAAAGCAGAAAACATTGAGTATTTGAATGGAGGGTCAAAGCAGGTAAATTACCTCTTTGGAAACTTAATCTGTGTAAATGCAAGTGCTATCGGTACTGGAAATTGGCAGGTATCATGCTGACATTCCAAGGAAGGGTGACCTGAGCAAATATATAGGGAAATTAGTTATATACTATACTCATTTTTACTATTTGGAGGTGAGTGACATGTTATTAATATGCTCTTTAGAATGCTATCTTCTTTGTTTTCCTGAACTTATGTAATAAAGATTTTTATAGATTACTTAGGGATCAAGTCCTCCCTTAAGGCCTCAAGATTCTTAACTAGGAATCCTCCTGCTGTAGGAATTTTGAAGATAGGGATAGAAGACTGTTTTGTGCTACAAGCACCATTAATTAGGACCCCAGATAAACTTGAGATTTGTGATAACCTGTAAGATCTGGGTTGAAGGCATGATTTTCAAATGGCAGCTTTTGCATGTATTTATGAAGAAAGTTTTTTAGCACTACAAACAGTTAAATATATTATTAATATAAATAAGGCAACTACAAATCATTTAAAATATCTACTTAATAAAGCAGGTCTTCTAAGAGCATGTTTATGTCAGCACTCTAATCTAAAAATAAAGTTTGTTAATGTTAATTGTAATGTTAATTTAAAAATAAAGTTTAAAATGACAGTACACACTCCTTAGACTTATCACTGTTTAAATCATGTACTATAAACCAATCTGATCTATAATTTAACTGAACATTTCTCACTCCCCTGAAAATCAGGTTTTGGCTTATACTCATCATATAGATTTTTATCTCAGTGTACCCCAAATAATAGTTGTAGCCAAGGGCATCAAGGCATCCTCTTTATATCCTGACTTTTCCTGAGTAACTGAGCTCCAATACTGTGTGGGTTCTATTCCATACCTCTATGTCCATATCTGTTCTCCAAGCCTGGAACTGTGCTTTTAATGAAAGCCAGGGAATGCTTGGGCCTCCTCTGGCCCTATTGCTGCTGTGAACTGGGCAGTGCACCCTCAGTATGAGTCAGTCTCACTTTGCAGTAAGTTTTTCTCTTGACCTTTTCTGCATTTCACAACCATTCAAATCGATCTTCTCCATCAGTTGCAGACTAGTGAGGTGTTACTCTAAAACCTGAGATGTTGCTGCATCGTGAGGTCATTAAGTAAGTGCCGTGGTCTCCCTCCAAAGAGGAGATCTTTTCTGCTTGGACGTCTCTCAGGAACTCTGCAGAAGACAAAATGAACAGGAATTTGGACTTGAACTGATCAGCAAACAGCTTGGCAACTGTTGTAGGATGCCATCTGCAGATGTTAATTATCCAGTTTGGGTCCTCTAATAGCTCTTGACCTCCTCTTGGCTCTGTCAAATGCTTTTTTTCCCATCCTGATTCTTTATTATTCCGTTTGGGGTGAGACAAATCAGAGGTAACGTTGCTGATTCTTTTTTAAACCGTTAAATGTAGACAGATTACTAATGTGGAAACATTAGTCTTTCATTCCTCCTGTGAACATTTGGAAGAACATGATCTTCTGCTCTATTTTGGCTTCAAGAACTCCTCTCCAGTTCTTCCTCCTTCCTCGACTGTGTAAATGAAATCAAGTTTTTGAAGAGTTGGTGATGAGAGTAAAAAGCAGGGGGAAGAACGGGCCTCTGCGACATGAACCCTGAAATCACATTCTGTTGTGCAGAACTCGGGAGACTGCTTTTTCTGCCTCATCATCTCCTTTGTTTGTTATCCAAAGTAGTTGCTCTAAGCCTTTTATTTCTCTCATCAAGCTTCTTTCTCATTCCCTTATACTGCAAACATGGTCTTGCTCTCTACCAGAAACAGAACAATAGAACTGAACTCACTGAAGTTCCTTTTTCTCCAGCTGTAAACCAAAATGCATATCCATCCTCATTTCCTTCCTGCTCCTCTTTCTAAGACCAGTCCCCGCCTTCTCTTCCTGCAGGACTAGGTTCCATCAGTTAACCTTTGTCCTCTCCTGCATGCTGAAGGTTTCTGCTCCTGGCTTCTTCCACTCTCCCATGCTCAGGCCTCTCTCATCCTGAGAATTAATTCCTTCTGGCAGTGCTGTTCCTCTCTGGAGCACAAAATGTTCCAGAAGACTCATCTGTAGTCGCCAGCTCTATGTGCTCAACTCTTTGCAAGTCCATTTCTCCCCTCCCACAGCCCCCCCACCCCATCCCTTCTCTGAAACTGTTCTTGCATAGGGCTCCATTGACTTCCCATTGTCAGTTCCAGTGGTCACGTTTCTATTTTTGTCTATCTTTCTTTTTCTTTTTTTTTAAATTTATTTTATTTATTTATTTGACAGAGAGAGACAGTGAGAGAGGGAACACAAGCAGGCGGAGTGGGAGAGGAAGAAGCAGGCTCCCCGCTGAGCAGGGAGCCCAATGCGGGGCTCAATCCCAGGACCCTGGGACCATGACCTGAGCCGAAGGCAGACGCCTAACGACTGAGCCACCCAGGCGTCCCTGTCTATCTTTCTGAAGCAATAATCATTCTTACTCCCTCCCTCAGAGGAAAGTTCTAATGAATTTTAACTTTGATGCTCAGGGTTCAGGTGTATTCTTTTGATACTCTGAGATTTCTTCTTGTTTTGGTATAGAATTTCAGATTAAAAGAGACTATATATGTCACTCTAAGCAGCCAAATCTCTAGTTTGTGTAGAGGTAGTTACTGTTTTTATGGCCTGAACTGTCATGTTTGTCTAGTGACTCAGACCACTTATGTTTCCACTCCCCTCCCCTTTTTTTAAACAAAAGTAAAACAATTTATTAAAACTAGTTTTTTTTTAAATCTTGTATTTGTGCAAAAATCCTTTTACCCAGCTTGCTCACTTTTTCTTTCCCCAACTTACTTCTTGATGACATTGGATTTTAAACATCATCATTACAAAGATTTGCCTCTATGGATGTTGAAATAACTATACCAAGGTGTGAGGCAACTTCTAGTGCCTAAATGGGTCCTGACACATAGGAAGTGCTCAATAAACATTTGTTGACTAAGTGAATTCCATAAGCAGCCCCGAGAGAGCATATGCAGTTCCAGCCAGAGAGCTGGAAACATGACCCGTCTTATATTCCATTTGGTTGGTTTGAAAGGCTTAATTATGAGCAAAATGTTTAGGTCTGGATGCCACTGTAGTCCATTCAAAACTTTGTAAAGCAGTTGTTCTTTTCACATATTTCCTAAAGGGAGTAAAACAGTACAAACAATTTAAAAGTCATGTTGAATTCACTTGTGTATCTACAACCAGGGAAAAAAACCCCACCAGTTTCATTTTTCTGAATTAAAAATTCACACATTTAAATAATTCATACTGTCTGGCTCACACTCTCTGCAGTACTTCTGGAGATGGGCGCCTTTGCTCCTGGCTTACGTGGAGCACTGATGGAGCGAACAAGCAGGCACCCTATGTGCATCAGGTTCCAGAATCTTGTTCAGGAGAGTGCTGTGGTTTAGTAGGATTGTAGAACCGTTTACTGAAGATCTGGCCATGAATCTCAGAGACCACTGGAAACCTGCTCTTGACCCTCCTCTTCAGTCTTACCTCTCATTGCGGTGAAGGTCATCTGCATTTAAATTATCTGTGCTAATGGAACCAACGGGCTCATTCTGTCTCTATTGGTATCTGTATCTCATACTATATTTCTCAACTCTTCTTTATAGAGAGACCTATCAGGGCACAAGAACATTGTTGGTTACATTGACTCCAGTATCAACAGTGTGAGCAGTGGTGATGTATGGGAAGTGCTCATTCTGATGGACTTCTGTAGGGGTAAGTATATGACCCACACCTTGAGCTCCTGTTGCTCTGGCACTTTGATTGTCTAGGGCACAGGGCTCATTTCAGTTAATGTGCATTGTGCCCTAATGTATGTTGTTCTGTTTTTAAAGATGTGCAAAGAAAGATACAGAGCCTGCTGTCACCTCTTGGTTATTCTTACTATGGCAAACAATTTGAAGTGGTAGATAACACAAAACTCTCCTTTTGTTAGCTTTAGGAAGGTTTGGTGCTTGTATATGAGTGAGAATGGATGAGGGTGAGAATGAATGTGTTATTTGTGATGCTTTAAAACAAGCGATGAAGGTACATAATAAAGACCCAACTCCAGATGGACCAAAGAAACCATTCAGCCTCCCCACTCCCTCCCTCATGTGTTCTCTTCTCCACCCACACCTCCATCCTTGTGTTATAGGGGAAAATAATCCTTTTCGTCTAATGGAAATGACCTTTCCTCTCCTTGCTTGCGAGCTGTAATTTCCAGTAAGGCTATATTCAAACGATGCTGCTGTGAACAGCGGAGTTAAGTAGTTGAAAGCTTGGAGTTTCAAGCAACATTTATCTTGGGAAATACAGACTGTAGCATGACTTGATTCAGAGCTGACTGCATTTCACACAACCAGTTTGGAGGTTTGACTTTTTTGGCCTAAGCAACTGCCACTTATAAGCTTGGGTCACTGCCTCACTGTTTGGTGCCCTGTTTTATAATCACCCTTACTTCCACTGACATTTTCCTTGCCTTTAAAGATACTGTCCGTAAATTAAATATGTTGTTAATCCCCAAAATGTGATGTTAACCAGTAATTTCAGCCTATTCTGTAACAACTCTTAAGCTGATTTTATAAGATACTACCAAATTTGAACTTGACAGTTTGTTTCCTCCTGTCCATTCCTTTTTGCACGGTAAAATGTTTCGAGAGAAGGTAGTGGGAGCATCCAGGGATCTGGATAATTTTGTAAGTAAGGTCATCAGTCTTTTGGTCCTGGAGGTGAAATACTGGTGTAGCATTTCTACATCCTCGGCAGCAAGTAGTGAGTGAAGCCAGAGAGACCAAGCCATTCCTAAAGTACAGACTATAAGGCTGTCTTCTTTCTGCTCCTGGGGTCTGTTGTGCAGTCTGATTCCTACTAAAAGATGTGGCAGGTTGAACCTGTGGCCTTGTCTCATACAAACGGGGACCGTGTAACCAAGCGGCTATAGCAGGACCAGATTGTCAGTTCTACTGATCTTGAAGATGTCACAAAGGCAGCCCACATCTGGAGTGCTTCATAAAATAAACTGGTTTTGATGCATTAGAGGAGGACCTGGATTGTAAGAAGATGAATCTGGGTCTGAGAATTAGGACACTTGGGTTGCAGTCATGACTCAGCCAGTGACCTCTGTCCAGGTTGCTCCTCTGTGGACTTGGGTAAGTGGTGAGTCTGAATGTTGCTAACCTCTAGCTTGTTCTGTGCCCCCTTGTAGGAGGCCAGGTGGTCAACCTGATGAACCAGCGCCTGCAAACAGGTTTTACGGAGAATGAAGTGCTTCAGATATTTTGTGATACCTGCGAAGCTGTTGCCCGCCTGCATCAGTGCAAAACTCCTATTATCCACCGTGACCTGAAGGTAAAGGTTTCATTAAGTGCATTCCTACAGAGGATTTCCTGTCTGCCCTCGGAACGGGGGAGAAACTTGGGGGATGTAAGAGAGCAGGCATGGTGACCTGACATTTCTTACATTCTGCTTGGCGAGAGAAGACACAAAGAAAAAAAAAGAAAGTATGGTACCGGTATTGCTTTTATTACTTAAGTAGCCTTTAGAAATTCTTTATAATCATCAAATGCCGGAATACATGTTGTTTTTGCTTTTTCCTGATGTAGTCCCAAATTTACTTTGTCAGGGGTATGGAAAATGATACGCTAATTTAAATGCTTTGCAAACAGCGATGCTTGGTTTTTAACGTCTGCTTCATATTTTGCAAAATCCAGTAAGTGATTATTTTAAACATTTGTTCTGTTAGTCACTATCTTCTTGTACTGGGCCTTTCCTATTATATAGTCACTTGACAGTGTTTGTTGAATGGACTTGGCACCTGGTTAGGGTTCACCAACATGTATGGCACACCAACTATATGCCACATACCCTACTAGACATTTTACACACACTGTCTCTTGGAGGAAGATGTTCTTTACATTTATAGTTAGGGAAACTCAGGAGTAGAAAGGTTACATGACTTGACTAAGGTCATATAACCAGGAAGGAGAAGGACCCGAATGTGAATCCTGCTCTTCTGATTCTAAATTACAGTTTCTTTAAATACCTGTGTTTTGAGAAACCTGCTTCGAGGCTAGTAACTTGGATCCGCATCCCCTGGTGTGCTGATTAAATGCAGGCTACCGGATTCCACATTGAATCTGTCGAGCCGTAACTTTTGTGGCAGTGTCAGGGAAGCCCAGGAATCCATAGCTTAATCATCACCCCACGTGGGTTTTGTATATTCTAAAGTTTGAGGATCCTAGCAGCCTACTAGCATTTCTGTGTCGAGGTTTTTGTTTGTTTGTTTTAGCTTTTTAAAAAATGGAGATATAATTCATAACCATAAAATTCACCCTCTTAAAGTATACAGTTCAGTGGCTTTCACCAAATTTACAAGGCTTTCCAACCATCTCCACTGTCTAATTCCAAAGCATTTCATCTCCCCAAAGGAAACCCTGTATCCATCAGCAATCACTCTTCATTCCCACCTCGCCCCAGCCCCAGGCAACCGCTAATCTGCTTTTTGTTGCCTGGCCTGTGCATTTCATATAAATGGCTCATAGAATAAGTGGCCTCTTGTGTCTGACTTCTTTCACCTAACAATGGTGTCAGGGTTCATCTGTGTTGCGGTATGTAGCAGTACCTCATTCCTTTTCATGGCATGATAGTCCTAGTGTGGAGAGACCACATTTTGTTCATCTAGTCATCAGTTGATGGACATTTGAATTGTTTCTGCTTCAGAGAGTATGAAAAGACTACTGTGACCATCCGTGTACTAGTTTGAAGTGGGTATATGTTTTCAGTTCTCTTGTGTGTACATCTAGGGGTGGAATTGTTGGGTCATGTGGTAACTACAGTTAACTTTTGGAGGAACAGCCAGACTATTTTCCAGAGTGGCTATACTATACTACATCCCACCAACAATATATGAGGGTTCCCATTTCTCCACATCCTCACCAACCCTTCTTGTGCCTTTTCATTTTAGCCATCCCAGTCGGTGTAAAGTGGTACATGCATATTGGCATTTCTGTACTAAAGCCGTTAGCTGACGGGAAGATAGTACATACCTTCAAAAGCCTTAAACAGCTTCTCCAGTGTCCCTCTGTAGTCAGCCCTTTCTCTGAGTAGAAAAGGGAGAATACATTTTGGTAATTATTATGAGTCTAGCATAGTACAAGTACATAATTCTGTGGAGGTGGCACAGGTATAATATGGTTCCTACTCCCAAGATGTTTAAGTGTTGGTGAGAGGATATAAATGAAATGTTCAGACTTGCAACAGTGACAGGTAAAGTATGAAAGTTCTAGAACAAAGTGCTCAATAGCAGAGAATCGAGCTGCTTAGTGTATGGTCAGGTAGTGGGACCAGGTAATGGAGGTTGGAATCTTCCCGAGTAGTGGGACATCACAGGCTGGTGGGATATGTATGGGTGGTCACAGACAGGATGAAGCCATTTTAGATAGAGAGCAGAGCCTGAGGCCTTCCTAGAGAAGGGGACAAGAAGGCTTCAGAGCGTGCTTACATGACTGAGGGGGCATGGAGGTAAGGGCCCGGGGAGGAGGCAGAGATGACCACTGAGCATCCTGGTAGAGAGTGCTATTCCCCTGTTCTTAAACAAAATCTTCCTTTATTTTAACTGGATTAAATGAGGCCTCGGTGATGAGTCATTGCATACCTGTCGATGATGCCTACCTAATTTACATATTGCCAGCATATCAGTGCCCTGTGGTGCTCCCAGCGCTGCTGTGAGGAGCCTGAAGTCCGGAGCTCCAGGTCTAGCCCGGGGACAGGGAGGGGGACAGAGCTTGGCCTCGGGCAGTGGGAGCCCCAGATGCTTTCTTCACTGTACCAAACAGTCCCCGAGATATTTTAGCAGAGGAACATGGCCAGAGTGGAATCGGAGGAGAGGCCACAGCAGGAGTGAGGAGAGGCTGCCGTGTTCTGTTCCCCAGCTTACGTCCGAGCCCTGTACCCCTCCACCTTCCTCGCTGCTCCAGAGAGTCAGCACAGTGCTGGCAACACAGTATTGGACTCTGTAGTTGTGTTTTTTTTTTTTTTTTTAAAGATTTTATTTATTTATTTGACAGAGAGAGACACAGTGAGAGAGGAAACACAAGTGGGGGGAGTGGGAGCAGGAGAAGCAGGCTTCCCGCTGAGCAGGGAGCCAGATGCGGGGCTCGATCCCAGGACCCTGGGACCATGACCTGAGCTGAAGGCTGACGCTTAACGACTGGGCCACCCAGGCGCCCCTGTAGTTGTGTCTTAATCCGTAGTGGAGACCATCAGGCGAGCAGCCGGCTTGCCGGTAGTGGTTCAGGAGACTGTTGCCATTTCTCCTCTACCTTGGAAATAGTTGAATGTAAGTAAGTGGCCCCTGGGAGGAGGCCTCGATTGTAATTGTTCCAGAAGAGTCCTGCCGCTGTCGATTTTAGTCAACTCCTGGTTGTTTTGATGGAAGCTTTCCCAAACTCCACATATCCTCCACTCTGTGCCATCTAGCTGCCTTCGTTAGCAAGTGAGGTTTTGTTGATTTCTGCTCATATGTGTGTGGTGGGCAGTTCCCTTTGCCTGCCACACTGCCAGCCTCCTGAGGCCTGACTGCAAAGTCCCCGTGTGCCTCCCTGTTTACCATCCCGTAGTCTCAGACACTCTGAGCTCCGTGCCCAGCCACTACAGTGCCAGCAGTGGCCAGGGCCACGAAGTTCTTTATTCCCCTGTTGGCCAGAGTGCTGGTGGCTGGTCTTTAGGTGCTTCTCTGAGCAGGACTTAATCTGGTGAGGTGGCACCACCGTGAATAAAAGTCGGTAGGACATGAAAAATAGCGCAGGCCAGGCCAGCTGTGGATCCCCTTGTGGAGCCAGTGCCGCCCTGCGTGGAGGTCCATTGTTCACATGCAGAACTGAGGGAAGCCCCCTCTTGCCCTGCCCACCACATGTGCCGTCTTTCAAATTCTGTGTAGGAAATAAGTTGAAAGCAGTCCCTGTCCTTAAACAGCTTATGTTCTGAAAATAACCAGGACAGAAGTTCTGTTCTTCATTGGAGGTCTTTCCTCTAATACATTATTTTAACATTTTCATCACTTCCCTGTTTTGTTTTCATTTTTATCTCTCTGAGGAAAGAAAGAGATCATTGCAGATCATGGGGTTGTAGAGCTGGAAAGGTCACCTGAGCCAGCCCTCTCCTTTTACCAGTGAGGAGACCTCTGCGCAGAAAGGCTGTGACCTGCACGGCTAATTCTGTGATCAAACCAGAGCAAAGGCCACGGGTTTTTATTCCCATTTTGGTTTTTGTTTGGTTGGTTTTGCTCTCTCATACCGTGCTGTTTGTTCAGGTACTTAAGAAAGGGGAAGAAAGGGTTAAGATTTAATAAGTGCATTCAGATTGAAAAAGTCATGGATGTCTCCTCTTTTGTCAGAAAAGAGATTTTGATTTCACGAAGTACAAAGAAGATTCTTGTCCCGTTTTTAGAATTGTAAGTTTGAAAACCTTCGTTTATCTTATCCTCAGAATTTCTAGTGGTAATAAGTTCTGTGACTGAAATGCCCGAATGCCATCTCTGGAATAATGTCAAGATGAAGGGTCAGTAGGAGGTGGCTTTCCAGACCTTTTAGCTAAAGCTGTGAGCAGAGTTTGGGAGTGACGACTTTAATAACCCTCTTAAGCCATTGGGATTGGGAAGTAAGGTTAGCAGCATTAAACTCTCAGAGAGCTGGAAGACTGTAGGATTGTAAGCAGGGGTCACATCCTAAGGGACTTTGCCAAAAACAAAATCACTCTGCAAATTCTCTGGAGCTTCCAGAAGATGACGTATGAAGGTCCAGTTGGTTCTCTACCTTCCTAGTCTCACTTAATCCCTCTGGGCCCTACTCTACCCTGGTGTTAGTCACCTTCCCTCTGGACGATTGCAGCTGCTCTCGCTTTCCTCCTTCTCCTCTGTCACTGGCTAACCTTCCTCAAACACCTCTTTTCATCTGCTGCTGAGTGGCTCCCAAGGGGGCCTTCCCCAGTCTGCCATCTGTCAGCTGCTCTGGTCCTCTTTCCTGCTCCCTTCGTGGTCACCCATCTGAGCTGCCCACATTCTGTAGTAACTGCGTAATGCCCATCAGTGCCGTGGGGAGGGGGTAGCCTCAGCGGTCAGGCAGCCCAAGCCCACATCCTGCCCTACCAGCCTTGTGACCTCAGGCACATTAGGTAACTGGACTCTTTTCTCCTCTGTTAAGTGGGGGCAATAAGGCTTTGTAAAAATTTCATGAACTACTATAGGTAAAAGTGCAGGGGGCAGCATCTGGCTCATAGTGAGTGCTGTTAGTTGCTGATACCATTTTTTTTTTAAAGGATTCATTTTGGTTTTGGTTTTTTTTTGTTTGTTTGTTTTCGTTTTATTTGAGAGACAGAGAGCTTGAGCAGAGAGAGGGGTAGAGGGAGAGGGAGAAGCAGACTGCCCGCTGAGCAGGGAGCCCGATGTGGGGCTCAGTCCCAGGACCCTGAGATCATGACCTGAGCTGAAGGCAGATGCCCAACCGACTGAGCTACCCAGTCTTGTCTCCCCATTCATAAGGGCACTAGTCCAGAGAATGTCCAGCCCCTGTGTCTTCAGTGTCCTTTGCAGCACCAGTGCCCAGCACAGTGCTGTCCCATCCATTGTGGCCTATCTCTCTGTCTCAGATGCCTCAAGCCTGCTGCCATCTCAGTGCCCTCGGGCTGCCTGTGCTCTGAGAGCCACCTCCTCCCCCAGGTGGTCCACACCTGCTCCCTCCATTCGGGTCTCTGCTCACCTCATCACAGTGACCTTTCCAACTGTGCTATTTGCAATAGCGTCCCTCTTCACTTCACATGTGTTTAACTTGGTGGTTTTTTTCCCAGAACATTTATCACCACCTGGCAATTACGTCTACTTTCTTATTCTCTTCCACTGGACTCAGCTCCATGAGCAGATGAACCTTGATTTGTTCACAGCCTTATCCCCAGAACCTCTTTGGCATATAGTAGGAGTTTGAATGTGCGTGTTTCTCTATTAAATGAATGGTTATAACTTCTTAGGTTTATATAGGGAGATTTATAATTTGTTTTCACATACATTCTCACTTGCTTCATAACAGCAGTGATAGAAATATTATTAGCTTTACTTTTCAGATGAGAAACAAGCCCGAAGAGCTTTAAAGGTTTGTCCGAGGTCAGACGTGTGAATAGTCACCGAGGTCATGTGACTGCCAAGTCCAGTGTGGTTGTCGCATGCCAGGCCCCGTGTCAAGTGTGTTGTTGATGGTGGTGGCGGTGGTGACAAAGGGCAGCGGCCAGCTTGATCTTGGAGGTTTGCACAGGTGTCCCAAGTCACCGGGTCAGACTGAGAAGGCGCAGAGGGTGCGGCAGCTGCTGGGGTGGCCCCTGCCAAGCGAGTTCACCTTCACAACCTCGTGACTCTCCCTGCAAACTTGCAGAGCTGCCCGAGCAGGGCTTTTGGTTCTTACCTGCATTAGCATTTCCTTGATATTGATAAGGCTTTCCCCTACATTGATAGTTCTGGCTTTGTGTCCACTTTTGTACACACCCTTCATTTTTAACTTTTTTTTTTTCCTGCAAATACAGTTTTGTCCAATGTTATCTTTATGGGAAGGAGGCAAGCTGAGATGGGGACCAGGCTGATAGTGTATCAACTGAGTATCTGCTGAGTTCTGCCACTCTGGAACTGACCAGAAATACAAACCTAGTTTTTAGGGTGGGGGGATAAAAACAAAACAGAAACCCTTATGTGCCTCATCATGATTCAGTCTTTGTCTACTTGGTTTGCCTCCTCCCCCCAGCCCAGTGATTTTGGTCCCTGGAACTACCTTGTCTGTGTTTTGAAGTGAATTAACTTTTCAGTTTTTTAGATTATACATTCTGGCGTGGGAGGTATAGACATTAATTGGGGAAGGGGCTGTGCACGTACAGCAGGCGACACATGGTTTCACATGAGGCCGGAGAGGACGATTGCTGCTAACTGACCCTGGATACGGGATCGAGGGGTACGTGGTGTGTGAAATACCGGACTGGCTATTGCAGGACACGCACGGGAGTAGTATAATTATAGACCAGTGGCTGGCGGACTTTTCTGCAAAGGACCAGACAGTAAATATTTTAGGCGTGTCAGCCATATAGTCCCTGTCACAACGGCTTGGCTCTGCCATCGGAGCTCAAAAGCAGGAGCCGGTAGACTAGAGGGTAAGTGACAAAAGGGCATGGCTTGCTTTTGTCTGAAGGTCTTACTTGGCCAGCCCCTCATGGATGGTAAGTTCTACAGATTTTATAAGGTGGCCGTGGAAGAGTTTACTGAGGATTTATGACTTGAGCAAGGCCTCGTAGAATGGCTGAGATTTGACAAGTGGAGCAATTGAATAAAAGGACGAAGCAGGCGATGCAGGGAGTGCTTAAGAGACACTGAGCAAAGGAGCCTGGCTAGTAATTAGACACCTGGTTCCGCATCGACTAGATTCCTACTCTGGGGCATTTCTGAGCATAAAGGACTAAGGCAGCCCTGCCCTTAAGCTTGTATCCAGTACACTGGGCATACTCTTCATACCACGGTTAGAGGATATTATGGCAGGGGACCTTGAGTAATGCTCTGCTTCTAACTTGCTCCTGCCCTGGCAGAAAGGTAATTAATTACCTGTCTTTCTCTAGAGTTAAATTGCCTAGGTTTACTTCCCAGCTTCATCACTGTGAGCCTCACCCTCTGCATCTGTAAAACAGGGATATTATTATATTATTATGAGGATAATCCATGTAAAGTGCTGAGTACAGTAATACTCATAATAGTAAAATCTCAGTAAATGGTAGTTGATCTGTCTATAACCTCTAAATTAGATTGGAAATATGAGTATTGCTTTGTTGGAATTATCTTAGATTCCTCAAGTGAGTATATGTTCAGGATAGCTTGACTGTGTCACTTTGTGTAAATAGGTTAAAGTGATGAGGTTTATAGAAAGCTGTAGATAGTAGAAATATTTGCTTGCCTCAGCCTTGTCTCAGGGGAATAAGAGCACATCCACTCGAGTTGATAGCCATAGTTCACCCTGCCTGTGTGGTTAAAAATCCCACGATCAAAATTCTAGATTAAAGTGATTATAGGTTAATAGTGCCCCAGGTGCAAAAGCGTATCCTCTCTGGACGAAAAATAGATTTTAAACTCAGGCCTCAAAGGCTTCCCACAGATGAATTCCAAGGAACATGAGTTAACAGCAACAATAACAAAACCCCTGATAAGAACACCACGCGTGAGACTCAGTAGGAGTAAGAAACAATAAACGAAAGCATCGGTTTGCAGCAAAGGCTTTAGGTATTAGATATTGCTGATACAGACTATAGAATAAACATTTTTGTAATATATAATATAATTTTCAGAAGAACTAAAGCAAGTGTAGAAACAAGTATAGGAAAAACAAGGGACTTTCACAATTGACCAGATTTTTTTTTTTTTTTAAGGGCCTGGGCATTTGGTGGCTCCTATCTTGCTTCTGACAGATGGACACACACACAAACACAGTGTTAAGTGTGTTTCTGTTTTTTGACTTACTCCATTCAACCCACATTTTGTGCAGCAAGCACTGTATTAGGCCCTGGTAGAGAATACTACAGATAGGATTAAGAGATGGTGCTTGTCTTGAAGGAGCTTGTAGTCTACTCTTGCCTTTGTTTTCCAAAGAGGATCAGTCTTTGGAAGGCTGACGACAAAAGACAATGGAGACGACAGGCTTACTGGCCTAACAAGATTTTCTGGCTGCCATTTTACTGCCCACGTGTAGCCAGGTCTGTCCTCCAACACACCGGTCAGCTCAGTTCACCTATACCAACAATTACTCACTACATCTTGAGTACAGAAGTGCCCACTGTTTTGGAGTTATTCTTTCATTGGCGTAGTCCTTTGATACCAGAGATTTCTGTAGGTTCTGGTATTTGTAAGCTCTCTTCTACCTGTAACTGCTAACTCACTGTCCAAAGAGTTCATCTATAAAAAGATAATACTTTAATAGGAAAACTGCACATTTGCCCACAGGCCTTTAAGCACTTTGAGAAGTATCTACAATATAGCAAATATTTATTATTCCAGAAATCCTAACATACCGTGGTAAAGAAATTGATATATGCATGTATAAGGCCGAAATGAAATAACTGACATCAGGAAGAATGAAGTCCTAAAGGACCGTGGGGAGGGAGTGACATTTGCCTCAGTGGGTCCTTGAGGAAGGCTTCAAAGAAGAGGTGCCATTTGAACTGGAGTTTGACAGATGAATGGGATATTGATAGTTGGGTAAGGAGGTGGGGGTCACAGAGAACATTTTAGACTGACAGAAGAACATGAGAAAGGATACAGAGGCTTGAAAGTATTAGGACTGTTTCTGCAGAGGTGAGAAATGTGGCTGGAAATCTAGGAAAAATGGGACTCTTGCTTCCCGTTGTGGAATTCCTCTATTTGCCCCCTCTAGTCTCATTTCACCCTGTTACCGTGCTTTGCTTTTTGTTCACTTGAGATGACCCCTGTCGAGATACTTGGAGGGGAATGACTTTCCTATGCATATTAATGGGATTATCAGCAATAAAATAGTTATATGACTATGAACAAAATTTTCATATGCATTACTAAATAATATCTTGGAATGGGTGGCTGGGGAATGTTTTTCAGGTTGAAAATATCCTCTTGCATGACCGAGGCCACTACGTCCTGTGTGACTTTGGAAGCGCCACCAACAAATTTCAGAATCCACAAACTGAGGGAGTCAATGCAGTAGAAGATGAGATTAAGAAGTAAGCATTTCCTCCTTTCTTGGAGTTCCATCCATGACCAGATCAGCAACCGTACTTTCGGCTTATGGATGAGAAGGTCAGGGTGGGAAGACCGTGGTGCTGGTCATGGTGCCTCTTGTCTCAGAACATCATGCTGGCAGTTGGGTTGTTTGATTTCAAGTGGAGAATGTGGAAGGGGTCCACAAGCATTGATCAGTAGAGTAAAATGAAGGAATCATATAGCACTTTATCAATGGTCCAGTGATCACTGTATGTAGATATTTTGACTTACGTCACATAGCCCTTGAAAAGCTGAATGGTGCACAGACTGTAGAGGGACTGTGATGTTTTTAAATGTAATCACAGCATCTGTGACATTATCAGTCAGCTGGATGTGCTTTTCACCGAACCCTGCATTGCTGTGTACTCCTTCTTGATCACAAGGAGCTCACCAATCTAGTGGAATTAATGGTAAGTAGGGCTATGAAGTCTCTACAGATACTGACTCACTGACTTCGATGAGAAAAAGCTTCTTTAGATTCTGGCTCCAGTAAGAACCTGACCCATTTTCCCCCTCCCGTCCAGAGTGCTGGATTTTTTAATAAACCAGCAGTCTGGTAGGCATACCGCTGTCCTGAGCTTCAGTCTCCTTTCCTGCGTCACCCTTGGCAGCCAAGCTGGGGCGGGAAGACTTCTGGTCCACGGTGCTGGTGGACAGCTAAGCCATGGTGCCCTCTGGGCTTTAGAGGCTGAGGTCACATGCTTGGTAACATCAAGACACTCACTTTGAAGCTGAGCTTATACTATCTTTCCTTGAGCCAGAGATAAGAGGAAAACTGGTGCTTCCATCCCTCTTCCAGCAGCAGCCACCAGCCACCTCCCACCCCAGCCAGGGCCCACTTTCTGCCTTCCTCCAGTGTCTCAGCCAGTATTACGTATCTGAGTTGAGCCACATTTAAGGGAATTACTGTTTTTAAGAACAAATCAGAAAATATAGTATAAATATACTATGAGACAACAAGGATTTGCAGAAGATTTTATCATTGGAGGACCCAAGAAAAGTTGTTTTTAGTGTCGACTGAAGTGCCTCAGTGTCTGGGTCTCCACGTGCCCTCAGATGGAAGGACTGCTTCTAGAGGGCCATGGGTGTGTACCAAGGACAGCTTTCCATTTTATCTGCACTAATATTTCATACTCTCTTCTGCGGATTGCTCCCAGGGAACTAGACTTTTTAAATTTAATATATATGTATTTAAAAAGTATTTCTGCTACCCCTGGTTTTTAATTATAGCATTGACATATTTAACGAAAAACAAATCTCTTGATTGTAGATACACAACGCTGTCCTATCGAGCACCAGAAATGGTCAACCTGTACAGTGGCAAAATCATCACTACGAAGGCAGACATTTGGGTAGGTGTCAACTAAGCTATCCGCACCTCAGATACCAGCAGTCTTGACCACAAATTCCCAAGTTTAATGCAGACAGTGCCATAGTGAGAGTGGCCACTGTACCATGTCACTGCCTACCTAACCGTCAGGGTTATTCTTCACTCCAGGTGACCAGCCACTGCCTCGTGAAGCATGTCAAAGGAAATGACTTTAGAGTTCTGTGAAAATTATTCAGGTGACCTGCCCATTATTTAGGTGGTTTTCCTACATGCGTTACGAGTTCTTAAGAATAAAATAGCTGAAATGCTTGTTCCTTATTGGAGCACAATTTGGTAATGATGGTAGAAATAATGTATGTCAGCAGCTAAATAGTGGTGTTGAGTTCTAAATTCAAGTTTCTAATAGGTTAATAGTACAGAGATTTTATATCTGCTCATAAATGTGGATGATGCCAATATCTCTCAGACCCATTGGCATTTATGGTAAATAAACCACTCCTAGCAATCTGCTTTATTTTTTTAGGCTCTTGGATGTTTGTTGTATAAATTATGCTACTTCACTTTGCCATTTGGAGAGAGTCAGGTGGCAATTTGTGATGGAAACTTCACAATTCCTGATAACTCTCGATATTCCCAAGACATGCACTGCCTAATTAGTAAGTATTTCAAGTTTCTAGTTTCATATTTTTATCTCTAATCTCCAGGAATGAATTGGGGGGCAGAGGGACTGGCTCACGGGAGTGATGGGTTGGAGGAAAAGATAAGTCAACTGGTAATGGTTGGTCACTCAAAGACGAATAACGGTGTCTAGTTAGAGTCGCAGGCCTTTTTGCTAGATATCTAAGCTCCTTTGCACTTGAGCAGAAATCCTAACTGTGCTTTGAGCAGTACAGTACTGCTGTGTTCTGTTGCAGTCAGTATGAAAGAGTCCAGCTGACTCCTATCAAGTGATAAAAAATTCATCTTTGCGAAACTGGAAGCAACTCAAATTGAAATGATTGCCATGCGTTGGCTGGAGTGAATACATAATTAAGACTGTATAACTCTGTGGAACAAGGTTTTTTCTCTCTTTAGGTTAATCACTGGATTTTGATAACAAGCATTTAAGCTCAGTGCTTGGTTTAAAATGTTTTTTAAGATTCCCCACTCTTTTGCAGCATCCTAGCAAGCATATGTATCAGTTCATTAACCAGATGGTAGAACGAATAATCTTTGCACAAGCCCTTGTACTAAAATGTGAAACAGAAATATTTTATCATCTTTTCACATTGGTCAAGGGATTTAGCATCTAAATTTTAACCATTTTGGGTTATAAGTCCTGGGATAGTTTGGATCCCAGTTTGGGTTCTGGGTGGGGTTGCATTGAAAAAAAAAGAAGCAGATATGGGTGGAGCATCTGACATTTGTTGAGGGCCTACTTGTACCTTATTTAACTCTTAAAATCTTATATAGTAAATATAATTATCCCCATGATCCAGATGAGGAAGCTGAAGCTGAGGAAGTATAGGTAACTTACCCAAGGTAACATCGTTACAGCTTTTAGATGACTACCCATTCCACTGGGCCAGTTTTATCAATCCACTTCTGTTTATGAACCAAAAAGGGGGAGGTGGTATTTAAAGAAATGGGAGTATGGCCTTTAATGGTTGCTGGATTGTTTTCAGAGGTAAAGCATTAGAGTAGTCCCTCCTTATCCGTGGGTTTGCTTTCTGTGGTTTTAGTTACCCGCAGTTGACCGCAGTGGGAAGCATACAATCCTACTTCTGATGTATAGTCAGAAGGTCAGTAGTGGCCTAACGTTAAGTCACCATGCCTGTGTCATTCCCTCACGACATCTCATCACGTGGGCATTTTATGCTTTCACATCATTACAAGAAGGGTGAGGACAGTATAATGAGATATTTTGAGAGAGAGAGAGACTACACTCACATAACTTTTATTGTAGCATATTGTTCTAATTGCTTTATTTTATTATTATTGTTAGTTAATCTCATAGCATACCTAATTTATAAATTGAGCTTTATCATAGGTATGTATGTATAGGAGAAAACAGTATATATCGGAGTCAGTACTATCTGCGGTTTCAGGCATCTACTGGGGGTCTTGGGACGTGTCCCCCCTGGATAAGGAGGACTACTGTATGTCTGTTCTAGAACTGCAGCTGTGTAAGTGAGATTGGAAGGAGATATAGGAAATGGCCCGATCTGGTGCTAGAATGGTAGGATTTTTTGGTAATACATTTTCTTTTTAACATTTGTACAGCAAATTCATATTAGGAAAAACAACTCTTTACAAATATCTGTGACACTGACTTCTTTCCCAAACTCTGACCTATTTTTTTTTACAAACTACTTGAAGATCCCATAGTCACCCTAGAGTCTCAGATCTAAAATTAAATTTATTGTCCTTGCCCAATTACTCCCAACACGCAGTTCCCCTCTTTTTTCGGTTTCTATTAGTGGTGTTACCATTCACGCCGGGATAATGGAAATTTAAGGTTTTCTTTGGATCTGGCTCGCAAGAGAAACGAGAGTCGGGCATTTTCTAAGCAGTGCTCTTTCTTTGGAGTTCAGCCGGTGTGTGCCTGTAGGGGCGGAGTGGCCACCAGCCTCTCTCCTCCTTCCATCAGCCCAGCCCAGCCCCGCATCACCGTGAGATCGGTCTTACACAGCGCCACCCTGTCAGGTCCCCGTAGTAAACTTCCTGGTTTGCCCGTGGTCGCACAGTAGGGCCCAGCTTCTTAGCATGGCATTTAAGACCCTTCATACTCTGGTTCCATCCCACCCACCCAGCCTTATTTCCCTGTGTTCTCTGATGAGGAAACCTCTGCTCTGTCCTTCTGGCACCTGCATTTCCTCGCAACAGAGCCTTCCCTTGCCTTTCGCCCAAGTGCATTTTTGCCCAGACTGTTCCGTCACCAAGAATATCTTTTTCTCTTCTTTCCCCTGACTGACTAAATTCTTTCCTGCCTTCAAGGACCAGCCCAAACCCTGCTTCTTTTTTTTGTTTTTAATTAATTTATGTGAGCTGGGGGGGGGGGTAGGTGGGAAGGCAGAGGGAGAAGGAGAGAGAATCTCAAGCAGAGCACCTGCTGAGCAAGGAGCCTAATGCAGGGCTCCATCTTATAGCCCTGAAATCATGACCTGAGGCGAAATCAAGAGTCAGAGGCTCAAGCGACTGAGCCACCCAGGCGCCCCAAACCTTCTGCAAGGCCTTTGCAAGACTGCAGCCTCATCAGTCTTTCCTACACTTAGTGTTCAGACCATTCATTTGTTTCCTTACACAGTAAGGCCTTGCGCTGTTGTTTGTATGTATGCATGTGTATGTTTGTGTGTCTTCACAAAGATGTTTTTCCTGGGGATTTTTCCAGCTTTGGAAAGGGCAGAAGTGTAAAGGATCTGGAAATAAATAAGTGTTCTATAGTTATGTAAAAGTAGAGATGTATTTATCATTTTGTAATTTTTTAGAATGGAAACCAGTTAATATCTCCAACAAAAGAATAATAAGTCAGTTCTTAAAATTTGAATTTTGAGGGGAGTTTGGCTGGCTCAGTCGGTGGACATGTGCCTCTTGATCCTCAGGGTCATGAGTTCTAGCCCCATGTTGGGGGTAGAGATTACTAAAAAAAAAAAAAAAAAAGAAAGTGAAAAAAAAAGTTTTGATTATAAGTCTCAAGGATAATCATTTGTTTAGCAAGATAAGGAAGCCAGGAGCCTATAACTTCCTTGGTACCAGAATATGAAGGTGGTAACTTTAATAATGAGAGCTTGCTTGAGTCCCTGTTGTACAAGCCACAGCATGTGAACTTCAGATATCTTTGTTACAGTTCAGAAACTTTGTTACTTTCTTGTGCATATTAAAAAATTTTAGGGAAGTTAGAGCTTCCATTTCTGAGAGGGGAGGAAAAGAGCTAATTACACTGTTCGACTTTTATGAAAAATAAAAATGAAAAAAAAAACACATTTGGTAAGAGAAATTATGTTTCCTAGCTAATGTAATAAGTATTAGGGTATTATTAAATATGTTCACATATGTTTGTCTTAGGGTATATGTTGGAACCAGACCCTGATAAAAGGCCGGATATTTACCAGGTGTCCTACTTCTCATTTAAACTACTCAAGAAAGAATGCCCAATTCCTAATGTACAGGTATGTGAAGGATGCTTTTTAGGGGAAGTAAACATTATCAAATTGTCATTTAAAATTCTGGGGGTGTGAACCAGCTGTTTAATGAATATAGATGTCCTTTGTTTTGTGTGGTAGGGGGCATTCAAGCAAAGCTAACTATGAAGCAATCACTATAAAGAGAATCCAATTTTCCCATAGAATTTAATTATTAAACTAAGGCAATTACACCCCCCCCCAAAATCCCTCGGGATTGAGTTGAGCACTTCGGGTGAAGATTGACCAACCTACTGTCTTGTTAACTTCCACAGTTCACTAAGAGCTATAAGCCTGTTGTATTTACCTAGCGGTGGTAAGGCAGGCTGCCTTCCTAAGGCAGGCCTCTGAATTTGTCCCCATACCTACTGGAACATAAGCCCCTTGTTCCTTTTCTCCTTTATTGCAGCAGAGCTTTCTTGATTCTGCTGCTACTCTCTGCCATCTATAACTCACACTCCTTTTCCGCTACCCTCCTTACACACATCAGGCTATAGGAATGTTTTATACATTTAGTAATCCTAAGCTCTGCACTCAACAGTTTTCAAACTTCAGATCTTTTTACAGTCTAAGCATATTTTTCATGTGTGATCCAGCTCCCTTGAATATTTTACTAATGGATGCCATAATAAATAAGTTCTAATCTGAAATTGTCTTCCAGTTTTCCCAATAATGAACTTTGATGTCCCTATTGGAGCTTGAGGGTACTGATAAATAACACTCCTCTTTCAGTCCTACATTTGGAATCGGATGTGGGAATCATTCAGATGGAACTCAGAATATTGGCTATATTACTAATAAGGTTGATTCAGAGAATGTAGCTTGACCAGTCAGGCTCCCTAACATCAGATCCACATGACTGAGCAGGGAGCACCTTATTCTGTAGAGACAGGCTCTCCCTTAAAAGGAGAGGTCAGCCAGGCGAGCTCACTTTTTTCTCCCAGTCCTGTCAGTCAAGTAAGTTACGCTTCTCCCTTTGGGAGAGGAATGCTTGGAGAGAGGAAGAGGAGCAAGGAGAGATATCCTAGCAAAAATTCTCCCCACCTGGAAACATGAAGGAAATGGGAGGTCCCTCCTAAAAGCCTAAATATTTACTGTTACTAGTAAAACTATTACTAGTATTACATTTATCAGCTTTCCAGATTAAAATGAGGAATCTTGTACAGGAACCTAACATGACCATGTTTTTCTTTTGCTGCCCCACTTTCCCGTTCATAGAGTTAAATAACCTGAAATATAATTGGAAGCATTCAGATTGGTAACTAGTTTTTAAAAAGTCAGGCTCAACAAGTCTCAAGCTGTTTGGTACTCACTCAGCAGTGCTAAGCAGTTGTCTTGTGGTTGGGGACGGGAGTGCTCCCTCCGGAGCCAGAGCTGGTGTCAGGTGGCCCGTGTGGAATCCAGGTGGGAGGAGTTCTACTGGCCTCATGGGCCTAGGGGTGCCTCATACACTGAAGAGGCCCCGGCGCCGCAACCTAATGGTTCCTGGCTATGGTTTTCTCCCAGTGTTCAAGATAGAAGACAGAATGAATCCCGGCTGGGCCTGCTGCTAGTCAGTGCTGACTTCTGTAAGGTTTAGCTGATAGTTTAAATAGTAATACAGGTTACAGACATCTCTCCCATTCCATTCTTAACACCACCTCTAAGCTGTGTGGTAGGAGGCAAAGGGTCCAGAAGGTTGGGAGCCTTGGGGGAGGAGCGCATGGGACGCAGGCTGCTCTGTCCTCTTCTCCGATATGCTACCTCCCTGAGGGGGGCCGAGACTGGTGGGATCTACCTTTGGTTGACTTCCCTTCCCTCTAGTAGACATCAGGGCCTGGAAGCCACACTGGGAGATCCCAGCACGTATTTCTATCGGCCCAGTCATGCTGGTATACTTTTACAAAGCAATGTGCAATGTCCTTTTTTGGTTTCCTTTCAATTCTGTAGAACTCTCCCATTCCTGCAAAGCTTCCTGAGCCAGTGAAAGCCAGTGAGGCAGCTGCAAAAAAGACCCAGCCAAAGGCCAGGTAAGAACTGCCCAAGTGTGCGCAGGTCCCGCGCCAGCGGCCATAGCGGTAGGAGAAGGTGCCTGGTGGTTGTTAGGTTCCTGTGGCCAGAGGCCGCACAGAGCAGGAGAGCAAGCTCTGTCTCTTCCAGGGAGTGCAGGGAGGAATATGATGAAACACGGAGATCTACATCTGAAAGAGAATGAAGAGCTCCACAGCTGTTTCTTTTGCTTGGGGAGAAGCACAGGGGCATTCAGAGAAGAGGCAAGAGCCAACTTTAAATATTGCTAAAAAGAATGTCCCAAACAGGTGTCCTGGTCTTCCTGTAGCCTGGTTCACCACCCTAGTCCTTCACCTCCCATTCCTTCTTACTGTCTGTGGCCCTGACCACCTCAGGAGAGTGCCAGTCAAGGCACAGACTCCATGAACAGCAAAAGAGCTTGTGGATCTTAGCTAACCACATTCCATGGAACATGGGGTCTTCCCCGAAGCAGATGCCAAGAGAGGATTGAAGAAGCTAGGATATTATTTGACCATGAGAGAAAATAGGGAGACAGCCAGGGAAGGCTGGAAGAACCATCAGAAGGTGATGTAAGTCTAACCCAGAGCAAGGAAGGAAGAATGAGTAGAAGTGACTAGAAACTGCCACACAGTTGAAGGAAGAAGGTTCACCAAAGGTGTCAGGGAATCCTCAAGCCAAAGTCAGCTACCAGAGCAGCCCCCGTGTCCCGGGAACAGGCCGACTTTAATCCCCCTGTGACAGGGGTAAAAGGCTGGGAGCAGCCTGTGGGAAGCATGGCCTCAGAAGGAGCATGGCAGTGGATTTCAGGGGCACAGCCCCTGGGGCACGTGGTGTTTGCACCCGTTGCCAACTGCAGGTCTGTGGGGCACAGCCTCATGGCTGCCATGCTTCCAAGTGGCAGATTCTGAGGGTAGTCGAAGAGATGTTTATGCCTTCTTTTTCTCCCACGTTCCCATGGCGAGGAAACATTAGCCGCCAACTATCAACAAAGTACCCTAGATGGGGTTGTGTGAATTTTAATAGAGTGGTAAAATAATTTTTACATTTTTAAACATTCTTAAATGTTTCTGGAATAAATGTAAGTGCTGATGTCGCTCCAAAAGTTAAAGGAGACTTTTGTTTTTCACAGACTTAGCAAACTATATCCATGGTGTTACTTTGTAGTCCGTTTCTTACCTAAGTCTGCCATGCTCGCCTCTGGAAATTGCTTTTGGGGCTGAGTTCATTAGCTGAGTATTTGGGTTTATGCCCATATTGCTCTAGACCCAAATATAGTAGGTACTGAGGCTAAGCAAGGATCTATTCCCACAAAGCCCCCGCATTTATAACAATGACAATAACCAGTACTATTCCAAGTGGTGCTGTGTTGTGTCAAATGAAGAAAATCATACCTGTATCATAAGGCAGTTGTGAACATCGGTGACTGTGAAACTGTTCTATAAACTGTAGAGTGCCCATGCTGTTAGTTTGTATGGATCCATAATGCTGCGAGAATACACAGACCTTACAGCCAAGAGATTTGGGCCTAAGGTGTCCTATTTATAATTTACAGTGATTTCATTTGCATTACCGTATTTGCTTCCCAGTCCTGAGAGGTAAGTTTTTCTTTCTAACTCTGTTTTTAAAGTAACCACTCTTCGTTGAGGCATCATGTATACCAGATACCATACGAGGTTCTTTCTGTAAATAAGATCACTTTCTTTTCCTTGAAATAAATCTATGAGCCATTGTTGTTGTTCTCATTTTACAGATGAGGAAACAGACTCAGAATTTTAAGTGGCCCAAGGTAATCAATCAGTATGTGGTTAGTTAAAAAAAATTACCCGAATTCCAGCATCCATACTCTATTCTGTGCATTAAGTGATTTGCCCACAAGCACATAGATGTGACAACTTAGAGCCAGATCTCCTGGCTTCAAGGTCGGTATTTTTTCACACCATATTGAGGGCCATACAAACTAACATTTTGAGCACTCTACAGTTTATAAAAATGGTTTCACAGTCATTGATGCATTTGATGTTCACATCAGCTTCATGATGCATTATTTTCTCCATTTCATACAGAAGGGACCCAGAGCAAGAAGAGGTAAAATGACATACCTATTATCACACAGTTAGTGAGGAACCAGGCTCAAATATAGTTTTCTTTGACTCCAAATCCCTTTATCTCTAAGATGTTACCCTTAAGAGAAATCCATCCAGGGGCTCCTGGGTGGCTCAATTGGTTGAGCATCCAACTCTTGATTTTGGCTGAGGTCATGATCTCAGGGTCGTGGGATCGAGCCCTGTGTTGGGCTCCGTCCTCAGTGCAGAGTCTGCTTGAGATTCTCTCTCTCTGCCCCTCCTCCTGCTCTCTGTCTCTCTCTCTCAAATAATCTTAAAAAAAAGAGAGGAGGGGGGAGAAAGAAATCCATCCAGTGTGGAGGTTCTTAGCATTTGGTTTCTATAGACATTTGTTCGACTTTCTCAACATTGGCTATATATTTCTTACACCTTTCTCTTCTTCTCCAACATTTGTCCTATTTTCCTTTCCACCTTCCTTCCCCAGGTTATAGCCTCTACAGATACGATAGCTTTTATAAGTTCTCTACCCCACACAAGAGCATCCCTCTAGCAGGATTGCAGAGAAAAGCCTCAGGGTCCACAGTGGACATCCCTTGGAGATATGTCATGGGGAAGGCACATGGGGTCTGCTTTGCTTCCTATTTTGCATTTCGTGGAGGCCATGCCAGACATATTTTGGAAATAGTCATGAAGCTTGTTTATTTTGGCCATAACTTCAGTTTTACTCCCTAATGTGCATTTTCAAAAGACCACTACTCTGTTCTGAGTTAGATGGCAGCCAGCTGCCTGGACCGCTCTAAATGAATGGAAGTTATCATCTGTATTTTTACACTATCACAAGGGACAAGTAGACCACCCAGCAGTCCTTCCTGTATTAATTTGGATTAGATTTCGCTGTGATGTCCAAAATGACAGTGGCTCATATAAGATAGATGTTTTTCTTTCAAGTAAACAAAGTCTGGAGGTAAGTAGTCAGCGGTTGGTTTGGCAGTTCTGCCCCACACCCAGGCTTCTTCAAGCTTCTCACTCTACCTTCCCTACGATTGTAGCCATGACGTCACAGACCAAAATGGTAGCATTCCTGTTCCAAGTAACGGATGAAGGAATAGCCAAAGAAGAGAGACAAATGGCATACCCTAGCTATTTCTTAAGGCTTCTGGAAACTGCCATATAACAGTCTGCTTTCCCATGTAAGGCTGGAACTTAGACACATAGCCACGCCTGATTATAAGAGAGGCTGGGCAATGTGATTTTTACTCTGGGTGGAATCCAGCTAAATTTTTTAATTGGAATATATTTTACATATAACATATTCCCCAAATCCTTTATCTTGAATTATTTACTTATTTCTTCTAGTTGCCTTATTAGAGTCACTCATTTATATGCTTTTTTTTTTTTTAATTATAGAGAGACCATTTTGACTAGTTCTTTTTTTTTTTTTTTAAGATTTTATTTATTTATTTGACAGAGACACAGCGAGAGAGGGAACACAAGCAGGGGGAGTGGGAGAGGGAGAAGAAGGCTTCCTGTGGAGCAGGGAGCCAGATATGGGGCTCGATCCCAGGACCTTGGGATCATGACCTGAGGCGAAGGCAGACACACTTAACAACTGAGCCACTCAGGCGCCCCTTGACAACTAGTTCTGACCAAGTTTGAGTCCCCTCTACATCTGAAAAACACCTGTTTCAAATTCCTTTCCATCATCACCCGAAGCATATTCTGGGAAATCCTAGGAAGTATTAGGTGGAATGGTCCCAGGGTCAGGTAAGCTAGAGAAACATTGCCTTCTGTATTGGGCTCTCTTCAAAGTTCTCCATGCACGTTCACACGTGAAAAGTTCTGCCGGAAAGAAATCTGCTCAATATATTTTGATTAGTATGTTAAAACTTCTTTCCCACCAACCCTTTTTTCATAACATCTAGTAACACTTAACATCCTGTGGAGTACCCTTTGACAAATGTCGATTAAGCAGATCTAGAAGCTTTGGATGAGTGTGGAGGGGAAAGCCAATCCATCAAGTACTCTGTCTGCCCCTTTCCCACTCTTCCACACGTTAATGTGAATCTGTGTTTCTCCCCCTTCCTTTTCTAGACTGACAGATCCCATTCCCACAACAGAGACTTCAATTGCACCCCGTCAGAGGCCTAAGGCTGGGCAGACTCAGCCAAACCCAGGAATCCTTCCTATCCAGCCAGCCCTGACACCTCGGAAGAGAGCCACGGTTCAGCCCCCACCCCAGGCTGCAGGTCAGTAACTCAGATGGTTTGAAATTTGGTACACCCTCTTTGCTATCCCAGACATTAACAGAAGTTTTGGGAAGCCTACTTTTGCTTCAGAAATGGAATCCTGAGACACATAAGGAATAATGGCTTGACCTGAGGACCAGGAGGTGAGAACCCATTGAAATTATATGGCACGTGGCTGGCAAAAGGGGAGCCCTCTCAATGGGTTCGGCAGGGGGCCTCCAAGACCCCTGAAGCCTGATGTCTCTATTTTTTCTAGTCTTGGCCCGGATTTTGTGGCTTGGTCCATCCATCCCATGCCTTCCTTTTTATTTCATATTCTTCTCCTGGCCTTTAAAGAAACAAGACTCTCTTCTTTTTGACACAGGGGCATTGTTTCTTTAATGCTCTGTCTTCTGAAACTATCCATTACCACTCCATGTTTTGGTATTCTGGTTCAATGAGATGACTTAGTTTAGAGGACCTAGATGATCAAGTAACTGAATTTAGTCATCACTTCCCCTACCGGGAAGCTGCTTTTGGTGAATTTGGTGGTCATCTACTTATAGCCAGGCATCTAGACTGGGGTTGTGTAACTTACAAGTAAAACATCAAAGAATGCTTTTGTCCTAAAGCATTAGTGCAAAGATTGTATTTGAATGCAGTAGCATCAAAGGCCAGCTGAATATGTAGATACTTGGGTGCTGACTAAAGGAGTAATTGACTAAATGGAATGCTGAATAAGGGAGGGCTTTCTGAAGGAGGCAAGCACTGAACCTTGTTCCTGAACCTTGTTTTGAAAAACATGAAGCACATAGTTTAGCAAGAAGATGCAAAGACAGAAGCACATGGCTCTTGGGATTATCTGTCCTCTTATCACCCCCTCTTTATTTCCTTGGCAAGAGAAAGCAAGCCATTTTCGTCTGGAAGAGTTTTGAGCCCTTATATGGAGTTTATTCTCATTACAGGATCCAGCAATCAGCCTGGCCTTTTAGCCAGTGTTCCCCAGCCAAAAACCCAGCCCCAACCCAGCCAGCCTCTACCCCAGTCTCAGCCCAAGCAGCCCCAGCCTCCACCCACCCCACAGCAGACGCCGCCCACTGCGGCCCAGGCTCTGCCCACTGCGGCCCAGGCCACGCCCCAGCACCAGCCGCAACTCTTCCTCCAGCAGCCGCCGCCGCCGCCGCTGCCGCAGCAACCGACCCAGCAGCAACCGCCACCTGCCCAGCAGCCCGCAGGCACGTTTTACCAGCAGCAGCAGCAGGCCCAGGCCCAGCAGGTAAAGTGTTCAGTCTGACCCTTGCTTGCCGTATCTGAGGCGGCACTGCGGAAAGGCCCAGTAGGTACAGGCATCTTCCTCGGGGAGCCCTGGGAAGACAGGGAGCCACTCCACATCGCCTCATTGCTTGTCCCAGCGCTGAATACTGGGAAGCATTGCGCTGTGGATGCGTCACTGGGCCACTCACACCTCTTTCCTGGGCCATGGGGAATTCTTCGCCTGATGGAGGAACCTCAGCAAGGGAGCTATTTTTAGGGACGCTTTTTCTCTTCTCTCTTTTTTTCCTAACACAATTGCACCATTACCATACTAAAAATAATAATTTCTTCTCTTATAAAATATCCAGGGGCGCCTGGGTGGCTCAGACAGTTAAGGCCTGCCTTCCGCTCAGGTCATGATCCCGGGGTCCTGGGATCGAGCCCCTCATCGGGCTCCCTGCTCAGCGGGGAGTCTGCTTCTCCCTCTGCCTGCCGCTCCCACTGCTTGTACTCTCTACCTCTCTGTCTGTCAAATAAAAAATAAAAAATCTTAAAAAAAAATATCCAGTAATGTTTAACTCTTCCTGATGTCTCATAATATCAGTTGGCTTGTTCGAATCAGGTTCCAAACAAGGCCCACATGTTATATTTAGTTGTGAATCTTTCTTCCTCCATTATCTTTTCATATTTTTTCTACATTTTTTACTCTGAACATACTCATTTTATAATGATTGACATATCTTTTAAGTCCCCTTTTATTCATAGTGCCCTCTCCCTCTTTCTTTCCCCTTTGGCATTTAATTTTTTGAAGAAACTGGGTCATTTGTCCTGTAGAATTTTCCACCGTCTGGATTTGGCTGATTGCATCCCTGCGGTCATTTAATATGTTCTTCCATCCCCTGTGTAAACTGGTAGTTTTTTGAGGCTTGGTCAAAATTCGATTCAGTTGGAATAGTTCTTCTTCTGGTTGTATCACTTCAGGAGGCATATAAAGTCTGGTTGTCCTCTCTTTTATCAATATGAAGATCAGTCCGTGAGTTTGGTGTTGTCTGTCTGATCCATTCATTCAGTGTCCCTGATCAGGTTAGCAGCAACTGCTGATCACTTCCTAAGTCCCTTCACTCATTAGGGATGGCAACATGGTGATATTCTAGCATTCCCTCCTCACTTAGGGGCTGGAATTTTTCTGTGAAGAATTTTTCTCAACTATTTGATGACCCTGAGGTACTGTTTATATAGAAAAGGCAGAAAAAAACGCTTGATTCTTTGCCTGTGTTTACCAGTTTTCAGAATGGGTTTGTTCTTAGTGTCATCTAAAAGTGAACAGAGGTTTTTTGTTTTTTGTGGGTTTTTTGGGTTTTTTTTTAAGATTTTATTTATTTATTTGAGAGAGAGAATGAGAGAGAGAGAGCACGAGAGGGAAGAGGGTCAGAGGGAGAAGCAGACTCCCTGCTAGGCAGGGAGCCCGATGCGGGACTCGATCCCGGGACTCCAGGATCATGACCTGAGCCGAAGGCAGTCGCTTAACCAACTGAGCCACCCAGGGGCCCTGAACAGAGGTTTTTGATTTGTTTTGTTTTAGTATCATCATGAATTCAGGGATTTAAACGTATTTATAATGTTTCCAGACATTACCTTTTTAAAATTTTTATTTTGATGCTTAAATTGCCTCAGCTTTGGCCAGTGGAAGTCTCCTCAGACTGGCTCCTGGGTCTTTTGGTGGTGACCCAGCCATCTTTAATGGTCTCCTTGCTATCTATCTATCTATCTATCTATCTATCTATTTATTTATTTATTTATTTTTAAAGATTTTATTTATTTGACAGAGCACAAGCAGAGGGAGAGAGAGGGAGAAGCAGGCTCCCTGCTGAGCAAGGAACCCGATGTGGGACTCTATCCTAGGACCCTGGGATCATGACCCGGGCTAAAGGCAGCCGCTTAACCGACTGAGCCACCCAGGCATCCCTCCTTGCTATTTATTGTAACAGGCCACTCTAGGCTTACTCTGCCCTTGACCTGGAAACAGCCATTTTTCTGAAGGAGCTCCATTTCCTTTTAAAAATGGTATTTAGAGACCACAGTTTGGTGCTAAGGATACTCATTTGCTAATGGGTCAGTTATTTGTTTTTAGACCTTTTCAGTGGATACTTGGGAAATATATTTTGTTTCTTTTGTTAACAGAATATACACCACAAATCTAAATTTGTATTCGTAATTCAGAATTGTAATTATAGGATTTTTGCTTAAGTCCTTGGATTTTATATTTGTATTTTTCTAATCTGAAAAATCTTGATTCCTAACAACATTAACATAATCACTTAATTGCTTTATAATTTCAAGACAATAGTGCCAACGGGAGTACTGGAAACAGGTTAAGATTTCTTTGCCTTTTTCATTCTTAGAATGTTTTGCTCATTTTCTGGAGAGTTTGGCTATCAATTTGATATACAGGTTTATTTGTTTCATTTTGCTTTTGATTTATAGTTATTGCCAAATTTTGGGTTAATTTTGTTGTATGAAAATATAAAACATTTACAGAGTTTCAAAGTTAAATTTGCAGAATTCTTTTTTTTTTTTAAAGATTTTATTTATTTGACAGAGAGATAGAGAGAGCACAAGTAGGCAGAGCGGCAGGCAGAGGGAGAGGGAGAAGCAGACTCCCCGCTGAGCGGGGAGCCCAACACGGGACTTGATCCCAGGACCCTGGTATCATGACCTGAGCCGAAGGCAGATGCTTTACGACTGAGCCACGCAGGCGCCCAAATCTGCAGAATTCTGCTCCCTCCATCCCGTAATATAGAGGGAGCCCTCATTCCTGTTTACAACTTGAGAGTATTCTCTTTTAAGGATACATAGCATGGTTTATTCAATTAGTGTCCCTGTTGATAAACATTTGGTCATTTCCAGCATTTTGCAGTTCTAAATGGGCAGCTGTTTATTGACTCTGCTTCTTTGCTAACCCTTTAACTTTGCCCCAGGAGGCTAACAGTGTCCTCTCAGTTAACTCTACGACTACAGTGTTTGGGATGTTCAAAGACAAGACCTTGACTTTTGTTCATCAGTGGGCCCCTGTTTGACGTGTGTGTGTGTGTGTGTGTGTGTGTGTGTGTGTCACATAGTCCTTGGCAGTGGGGAGTGGAGTAGATAGACGGATAAAAAGTACCCTATTGGTAGACAGTTTATAAGAGAATATTGAGAACTTGAAAGAATCGGTTACCAATACAAGATAAAATGTCAGTAAGTATGGTAGAGTATACTGAACATTTTGAATGTTTAAAGGTGAGACTGTTAATAAGATGGAGCTATAGGGAAATAATTTTCAGAAGGGCCTGAATGGACTCTTTATAGCTGGCTTAGCACTTAGGTGATTTTCATTGTCGTCACTGCTTCGTCCTGTTCATGGAGCGAAGCATTTTAATCTTGGCTGCTGCCAAATCCCTTTACAAGAGGGATTACTTCTGTGATTGGGAGATCATTTATTAGCTTCTGCTACACTCCAGCTTGGGGAGCCACAAGGTGCCCAGTGGAATGGATGCCCGCAGGATTGCCATAGAAACCCACCGGAAGCCGGGCTGCGGGCCAGGAGGCGGCCCAGCTCATGGGTGCAGCCTGGCCGTGTCAGGAGCTGTCGGGTTTACATCCATGCCCTGAGGGTCCCATCGGGAGTTGTGAGGCCAGGCCACGGGACTTCTGCCCACCCTTGCCTTTGGCTTCAGACTGGGCTTGGTTATTCCTGGGACCTTGGTCTTTTGTGGAAATCTGTTCCGAGACAGGCTTTCTTCCCCTCCTCCTTTTTGCCACTTCTCGTTCCTAGTTTCAGGCAGCACACCCAGCCGCCCAGCAGCCGGCCCTCGCCCAGTTCCCGGTGGTGTCTCAAGGCAGCTCCCAGCCGCCGCTGACACAGAACTTCTACCAGCAGCAGCCGCCGCAGCTGGCCGCGAGCTTGCACCAACAACAGCTGCTGACTCAGCAGGCCGCCTTGCCCCAGAAGACCGCCGCAGCGGCCGGACAGCAGCCCCAGGCGCCGCCCGCCGCAGCCCCGCCGGCGCCCGCGGCCCAGGAGCCGGCGGTGAGGGCGTGGAGCGAGGGGCGCGGAGGGCGCGGGACGGCGCGGGAGGGTGCGGGCCGGAACGCAGCGGGGGGGGGGGGGGGGGGGGCTGGGCGGAGCACGGGAGAGGGGCAGCCGCAGCCCGGGCGGGGGCCCTGCATTCGGCTGCTTCCCCAGGCCCGTGGTTAAAGTACTTGATTTTTTTTTCTTATTATGCCCGAGGTCAGGATGAGGTATTCTCTAGAAGGTAGAGGTTTAACAAAAATGATTCTAGGCTAGTGATGAAGATGAGCATTCTTAACACTCTTAAAGTGAGACTGGCAGAAAGAGCTGTTCGCTGTCTCTGTCGGTGCCAGTGTTGAGCAGTCAAGGACCTCGCTAGGATTAGAGCTCATCCCTTTCCCTTCAAGGGCCAGGTTGACCATTGTGGCCTTTCCAGTCTCTGGAGGTTTGCGTGGGCTCCCACCTTTACCCTGAGTCCTGATAGGGTTTTTATTTATCCTTGGTCTTGGACGACATTACCTCATTTAAGTCTACCATGTAGCGGCCTTCAGGGGCCTCCGTGCTGGGACCATTTACCATGACCTGATCCTCTGGGCATGAGAGCATCTGAGTGCTGTTTGAGCCGTCTTGTCAGTTCAGAAATTAGGCATGTTTCCACTTCTAGATACTGGCTGACTACAGCGTCAGAACCCCTTACTCCTCTCCTGATTGATCTTTACAGCTTCACCATCCTCAGGCACATTGTGTTTGGCCTCTACTAAGTGCTCTTCATTCTTTACTCACATATTTCTGAGTGATAGTGAAGAAAATATCATAGTGATAGAAAAAGGCTTTGTACATATCTGGCCAATAGAGTATCACAGCTACTCTCTCATTCCCAGGGAAGTCCAACTACTAACCAAATGAAGGAAAAGTAAGAAACCATCTTTCTGAGGATTGATTTCTAATAGAGTTTTGTCACCCATCTTAAACCAGAAAACCATCCCTTCAAAAGGAAGCAGTGCCGTAAATAGATTGTCTTCTTTGAGCCTCAGCTAAGTGTGTGTTCAGTGTCTTTACACCTTTGTTTCTGAAACAACTCAGTCTTCCTGCAGGCATGTGGTAGACAGCTACTCTCTGTATTTTTAACACAAACGAAAGTTCCTCTTGTTCCTGCTCTCGCTATCTCTCTGTCAAATAAATAAATACAATTTTTTAAAAGAAAAGAAAGTTCCTCTAATTAATGGAGTTTTAAAAAAAAATTATGATACGGGGGCGACTGGGTGGCTCAGGTCCTGGTCCCAGGTCCTGGGATGGAGTCCCACGTCGGGCTCCCTGCTTGGTGGGGAGTCTGCTTCTCCCTCTGCCTCCCCCCCCCCCCGCTCGCTCTCTCTCTCCTTGTGTCTCTCTCTCAAATGAATAAAATCTTAAAACTATAAAAAATTATTATATGATGTAGATAGTTGAGATCGTAATTATCTAGTTTAGTCCCCTCATTTACTGGAATTGGAAACTAGGCCTCAGGCTAGAAAGAGATTATCCAAGACACACAGACTGGTAGCAGCAGAGCTGGGGAAAGAACCAAAGAATCCTGATCTGTGTTTAAGGATGATAATAACAAATGCTCATCCAGGGAGATAAAATGATCAACAGTCATTGACCACATTTCTTATGAGGTTCCCCTTTGCTGTCCCTCTCTTGGGAATGAATTATAGACCTTCTCCATGTTCCTTGGCTGAAAACGTGCTTTGAGCACTTCGCTCCCAGGATAGTTGGTTGAGGGGATGGAGAAAGAACAGGAGCAGAACTTGCTTCAGCCAGGAGCCAGAGAGCTTCCCAAATTTGACCCATCCCTTTCTCTGGTGACCCTTGTCAGGACTTACCTAGAGAAGCAAGTGAGTGAATGTAAGGAATTGCCATCTTAAAGCAATAATTTACAAGAGGAAAATGGCAATATGCCATAGATGTTTATTATAATCTTATTAGTAACAGCCAAAAGAATCAAAGTAACCTAATTGTTCAGAAACCCAACTGTGCAGCCATTAAAAGTCATGGTTATAGAGTTTGTACAACAGTGCGAAACACTCATGAGATAATGTTGAAATTATGGGAAAAGTATGTACTTGAAAAGGGATACCAAAAAGATAAAAACAGTTGTATTAGGATAGTGGAATGGAAGTCTGGGTGGTTTTTTTCCCCCTTTTGTGTATATTCTTGCATTCCTGGTCCGACTATACTCCTTTTATAATTATATATATATATTGTTCTTTTTTTTTTTAAATATTTTATTTATTTGAGAAAGAATGAGACAGAGCATGAGAGGGAAGAGGGTCAGAGGGTCAGAGGGAGAAGCAGACTCACTGCTGAGCAGGGAGCCCGATGCGGGACTCGATCCCAGGACTCCAGGATCTTGACCTGAGCTGAAGGCAGTCGCTTAACCAACTGAGCCACCCAGGCGCCCTATATATTGTTCTTTAAAACAATCTCTAGCAAGACAGACATCTGGGTCTACTTTGATTCTCCTCCCACTGGGGTTTGTCTGTCCCCCACTTTCCCTTCCTAATCCCATCTTTGGAGGAGACATGATGGTGAAGAAAAGAGAGTCCTGAGCAGTAATCAGGAAACGTGGATTCTGTCCCAATTGACTCTATGACCTTGAGCGAGCACTTAGCCTCAGGGGGCCTTGGTCTCAGCTCCCCTGAAGCAAGGGAGTTGGGATCTGCGCTCTCTAAGTTCCCTTTTGACTCTCATATTCTTAGATTTGAAATGGAAATAAAACTGTCTGCCTGATGTGGTCATTGTGAGGAATAGCTGAATGGATTGGAGTGGTTTTGTATTAGTAGATTGCTGTGATAGGGTAAGGTGTCCTCATGATGGAAGTGTTTGTTCTTCAGGATGCCGCATATGGGGGTAGGTAAGAGGAACAGAAAGTGTTTTCCAAGTAGTCTGGACTCTTCAAAATAAAGGAACTCACCAGTGAAGCATACCCTTCTCAAAGCAACGCATGTCTTAAACTCCAAGAAATAGGCTAATCTAGTTCTGCCCATAAAGCCATGGTGGTCTCTGTGGGTACTGGCTCTAGGTTGGCTGTTGCAGGTGCAGCCCTGGGCCCCTGAAGGAAGTTGTGGGGCCGGAGCTCTGGTCTTCCCAGAGCACTCTGCTTCTCCGTCAGAGATGCCTCAGCTTCTTTACCCTCTGACCTTAACCTGAGTGATGTTGGAGCCTTGTGTTGTATCATTTGTTCAGTTGGTGAGTGGTTGTGTACTCATATGTGCACATAACCTGCCTCAGTAAAATTCAGAGTGTGCATCAATCCAGGGACAGAAAATCTCAGGCTGTCAGCATCCTGACCCAAGTAGCTGGCCCCTCTGGTTTCCTTTCTCTCCCAGGACCTACCTTCAAAGGCACCAAATGTGAGAGCTGAGCTGCAGCATGGAGGGACGTCTTAGTCTGAAACGAGGGACTGGAGGGAAGGGATAGGCCTTTAATATTCTGAATCATTTTGTTTCTGAACTGACAGAATTAAAGCATTAGGTGGCCTTCTTAATGCTATTTTTTGTTCATCTTCCTGATATAGCCCTTTGTAGATTGTGTCTGATGCTTGACGTCTAACCACGTGGCCACAAGGATGTTCCTACCTGTTTGTTTTTCTGTGGTGACAGTTTGTTCTGCCTTCTGAAAATGGCCCAAATCTCAAGAGTCCTTATGTTATTAGATCAATTATCATCAAGGGCTTTTCAGATTTTTTCTTATTTCTTATTATATTGTCTACCTGGTTCTTCAGTGCCATTTCTGAATTGAAGGTGGGAACAAGTTAATCCCACTGCACCAGTGCTGTACATTTTCTCAGGGGAGCCGCAGGAATAGAACCTTGTGGACCCATCTTCTCAGTGAAATAAAGAGCCTTAATAACAAAACAAAACAAAACAGAAAGCACTACCATTTATGAATCACAGTGGAATCCTAACTTACTCCCAACCAGTAGTCTGAGCTGTGTCAGAGTCAGGGATCTCTTAGCAGAAATTGTGCAGCTCAAATGTGGTTTAGCAGGAGGTGTGCCTTCTGTGGTAGTAGATTGCTGAAAGCATGCTCTTTGGAGCCATTCTGAATAAGTTCCTGTGTGACCCCAGAAGCAGCAAGTGGTCCTGTAGGATACATTCTTGATCTTTGGAGTTAGAAATAGCTTCTGCAATCTTATGCACCGGGCTGTATTGTATATGGTTGCTCTGTATATTATTGCTGATGAAGATTGAAATTTATGTGTAAACAGCAGATAAATACCATGCCATCAGTCCCAAAGTTATAGCTCAGATTGTCAAAAACTGTTTTTTCTTTCTGGGTGTTATTGGTAAAATCAGCCACTTGAGCCCCATGTTAGCTCTCACGTGGCTTTTTTTATTATGCTGATCTGTTTATTTGTTTTTCCTTTCCCTTCTTTTGGGAACACTTGCCTTTTTTTTTTTCCTAGCAGATTCAAGCCCCAGTACGACAACAGCCAAAGGTTCAAACAACCCCACCTCCTGCTGTCCAGGGGCAGAAACTCGGATCTCTCACTCCTCCGTCATCCCCCAAGACCCAACGTGCTGGGCACAGACGGATTCTCAGTGACGTAACCCACAGCGCAGTCTTTGGGGTCCCTGCCAGCAAATCAACCCAGCTGCTCCAGGCAGCTGCAGCTGAGGCCAGCCTCAATAAGTCCAAGTATGTGGTGCTTCTCCTTTCTCTTTTTCACTTTTGTGGGCCAGGGCTGCTGTGGCCACTACTACTGTGTAATTCTCTGCATCTGTATGTAGATGTGTATGGGTACATATATATAAAGGTACGTATGTGTCTGTGTTTATTAAGAAACTGAAGTTGCCTATAGTACCTGGACCGTACTGATCTTAAGGAATCATTTCATACTTGCTTTACTGTTTCCATTCTCTCATCCGTCCCGTGTTCTACAGAGTATTTTTTAAAATCTTAGTCTCACCAACCCTCTCCATGATAAAAAAATCTTTCATTGGCTCCCCATTGCCAGAGGGATAATATCTGAACTCATTGGTTAACAGACCAAAGGCCATTATATCACATTTGTGGACTTGTCATTCTCTGTCTTTGTGAGCACGTTGTTCATCCTATGCCCTCTCCCTGAACTCCCACTCTCCTCCTTGTCTACCTAGGAAATGCTTATTTAGTCATCAAGATCCATGTCAGCGGTTACCTTTTCTTTGGCTCCTTGGGTGTCATATATAAATTTGTCTGAACCTTTTTGGAGATGTATCACTTTATATTATCATTATTTATTTGTATATCCAGCTGACCTAGCCTGCAAATTCCTCCAAGACAAGGACCATGTCTTAACCATTGTAAATCCAGTGACCAGCTCTGTGCCTGAAATAAAGTAGGTTGCAGTGAGTGCTAGGTAAATGCAATTTTGGACCCTCAGCTTTCTTGGAACCATGGACTCTAAAGTTAAAAGTCTTTAAGTTGTTAGTTCAATGCAAAGGGCATCAAGAGAGACTTCAGAAGAAAATTAGGTAATAATACCTAGAAACACAAGATAGTGATAACTGTGTTTATTTCTCCTTAACTGTGATGGTGGCCACTCATGGCGGCCCCTCATTCTATGCATGCTAGATCCTGACAGCTGGGAGGCAGCCTGAAAAGGCATCAGTCCCAGCCGCTCCGGGGTCAATTATTGTAGATGTTAGGGTGGGTTGGTGCCACAGGAGTCACAAGCCTAAGAAGAGGCTGCTTTGGGATTCTGGATTGAAAGGACTTGCTAACGAGACCAAAAATCTAAGCAAGAGATTAAAGAAGTAGTGGGAGATAGTGGATCATGAAGGAAAGGGAGACATTTATTTCACACAGTGATAAAAGTATTTGTGAAAACTGTCCAGTTGCCTTGGAAAGCCCTTTCAGAAAACCACTGCAGAAAATAATGGTTTGACTCAGAAAACAATTCGATCTCAAAACAAAGAGAACGTAGATTGACCCTTTTTCAACCTTTTTCATTTCGTGGGGGTGGGAACCTACCTAGGTCTGCAACCACCACTCCATCAGGCTCTCCTCGGACCTCCCAGCAAAACGTTTATAATGCTTCAGAAGGTTCTACGTGGAATCCCTTCGATGATGACAATTTCTCCAAACTCACAGCTGAGGAACTGCTGAACAAGGACTTTGCCAAGCTGGGGGAAGGTGAGCAATTGGTGTCCCTTTGTGATTCTTAAACCGTAACTCTAGAGGGGTATGCATGTGAAAATGTAGGGTTGGGTCTTTCCTTCCCTCAGAGGCTTGATTTGAAGTTTGAGTGCAAATTGCTTTGAATGTTTACTGGAGCACTGGTGGTCTTTTCATCCGCAGGAACTCCTGGCCAGTTGTGGGCGGCGGTAAGGAGAGTGGGACACTATTAGCAAAGATTTGGTAGCATAGATCAGGGTGATACTGTCAAGCATGGTCATTCCTTGGAGGAGTGTAATGGTTTTCTTGTCCTATGTGTGTTTATTGTCCCAGAAAGTTGTAACTGCTTACCCAGGAGAGAGTATGCCTGCACATGAACTTTTAATCTTTGATTACGGTCAGAGTTCTGTAGTACTGTTGACTGACTGTAGAGAAGTGATCAAATAAATAGAAGGTACCGTTTCCATCTCAAAAACCCACAGTCTAGGAGCGCCTTGGTGGCTCAGTCGGTTAAACGTCCAACACTTGATCTCAACTCAGGTCTTGATCTCAGGATCATGAATTCAAGCCCCGCATTGGACTCCACACTGGGTGTGGAGCCTACCTAAAACAAAAAACAAAACAAAACAAAACAAACCCACAGTCTTATTTTGAAAGATGGGACTCATACACACAGACACACATGCACACTTTGGAAAACAACAGCACGCCCTGGAAAAATTCTTCAAAAAGAGTACCTCAGCATTAGACAAGAGCACAAGGTAAAGGAATGATCAGAACTGAGTGAATGATACGAACTTTGACCATATCTTTTAACTTTACTCTTCTAACTTTTGTTAATCTCTTTTAACTTAACTATTATTTTATAGATATCTTTTAAAAATTTGTATTTCTTGGGGCGCCTGGGTGGCTCAGTCATTAAGCATCTGCCTTCGGCTCACGTCATGGTCCCAGGGTCCTGGAAACAAGCCGCACATCAGGCTCCCTGCTCAGCAGGAAGCCTGCTTCTCCCTCTGCTTGTGTTCCCTCTCTTGCTATGTCTCTATCTGTCAAATAAATGAAGTCTTAAAAATTTTTTTTATATTACTTTCTTATTGTTTTAAACAAAGGATAGGGTGTAGGACTTAACTCTGACAGACAACTAACTCACTGTCAAATTATTTCATTGTTATGTATGCCAGTTACTGTTCTAGAATAAACAGAAATACCTTCTTGGGCTATTGAAAACTCTAATATTTTTGCACTTGATTAAGAGACTGCCAGGTTTTAAAATTCTTGTGTCTATTTTTCATAATTTCCTGTCTCTCTTCTGTCACATTAAACTGCTGCCATTGTGCCTGCCCCGGTCACTTCTCACTCCTGCCGTTTCCCCCGTGCCCTCTTCTCATGTGCTCTCCTGAACTGTTTCCAACATGGAAAACAGATTGGCAAACTCAGTAGAATTATATCAAAACAAATAGACTCAAAGTAAGGACTGGAGGCATTCTGCCTGAGTAATGTGCTTGAGCTTTTGGGCTTTAGCTCCAGCCATCTCTTTTGTTGCTTATTTATTTATTTATTTGAAAAAAATTTTAATTGTGATAAATATACGGGCGCCTGGGTGGCTTAGTGGGTTAAGCATCTGCCTTAACCCCACTCAGGTCGTAATCCCAGGGTCCTGGGATTGAGCCCCGTGTTGGGCTCCCTGCTCAGCGGGGAGAGTGCTTCTCCCTACCCCCTGTCCCACTCATTCTCTCTCTCTCTCTCTCTCTCTCTCTCTCTCAAATAAATAAAATCTTTTTTAAAATTGTGATCAATAAGCATAAACGTGAACTTCTTAACCATTGTCAAGTGTAGAGTTCAGTAGTGTTAACTACATACACATCGTTGTGCACCCCTTCTCCGGAACTCCTTCCATCTTGCAAAACTGATGTGCTGTCTTTGATTCTTACAACTTCCTTTTCTCAGCTGTTGTCTCAGTTATTGCAATGATTAGACAAGGACCTGCGAATGTCCGAGGTGTTGCCGTAAGGCAGTAAAGGAGTCACGTCCAGAATTTGGTTCAGAAGGTGCCCTCCACCTCCTGCATGTGTGTGTGCATCATGGGATTCTGCTGGAATGAACTGAGTGGTGTTTTGTCCCTCCAGGGAAACATCCTGAGAAGCTTGGAGGCTCCGCTGAGAGTTTGATCCCAGGATTTCAACCAACTCAAGGTGATGCTTTTGCCACTCCCTCGTTTTCTGCTGGAACCGGTTAGTATAGCAGGTGCCTGAAATACAGGGCTCACAGTTGTTGCCTCCACAGTTTCAACTGCTGCACAGATAAGCCTGGCACACCAGTGAGCCCTAAATCTTGTATATTTTCTTTTATTCAGAAGATTGCCAATATAAAAGCTAGGGAAAAAGAAAGCTCTAGAATCATTCTGAATTAAAATGACAGAATGATGTGTCAGTAATATACAGGATTTGTTCTGTCTAGTTCACACACATGCTTTGAGCAAATATTTCTAAATTTAAGAACATCACTCTGTTAATCGCTTGTAATTGCTTAGATCTTTGGAATGACTTGAAGAATTCTAAAAATTAGATGTTCTATCCTCTATCCAAGATTCTACTGAGCTGTGTTTCTGTGTGTGTGTGTGTGTGTGTGTGTGTGTGTGTGTGTGTGTGTGTACAGGGAGAGGAAGATATCTTTTTAAATTAGACCTTTTTTAAATTAAAAAAGTAATAGTAAAAAACTTTCTCCTTTATTAATAAAAATTATACATAGTCAACTATACTTCAATTAAAATTTCTTAAAATTAGAAAATTGTACATATTTATTACATAAAACTCAGTAATTTATAGAAAAGCATAGACAAGAAAGTTAAAATCCCCATAATCTCACCATTAAGAAGTAGCACAGGGATACCATTTTGGTGTCTATTAGTGGCATTTAACCTTTTTAGGGTCACAGCTATCTTCGTGAATGTAATGAAAGTTACAGATCTTCTTCACGAAAATACATGACCACATTTTGTACATAATTTTCAGCCTCAGCTTAAGACTCTAATGTACATCTTTATAGTCCTATTTTCAAACCAAATTTTCTCTCTTACTGAGTCTGGCACATTTCCCACATCATTAAAGACTCTCCTAAAAGATAAATTTTTAAAAGATCTGTATTAAATTGCTTATGGATTTGTCCTAATGTTTCTAACCAAGTAACCTCTTTTCTTAAACATTAATTTGGTTTCAGTGTTTTCCTGTTATAATTCCCTCAGCAACCATATGAGGTTTTGAGCATATATATTCTTTGTAGATACGGAATTTGATATGCTTCCAAAATTGATCTTTTTAATTTTATTGATTAATTTCTGATTTTAACCTTATATATTCTTTTTTCCCGCCTTCTGTAGGTGTGTTAGCAGTTTTTCTAACATCATAAATTTATTTCTTATTGGAACTTTGGCTGTCATTGCATAATATCCTTTATAGTTTCTTTAAGATAACCTCTAGAAGATTATTTGTTAAATCAAAAGATTGTCTTTTAAGGCTTTTGGTGCATATTTCTACATTAGCCTCTGAGAATGCTATACAAATTTTATTTTGATCAGCAGTGAATAAGAGTAATTTTCCCCCCACTACTCCACCCAGCCCAGATTCAGAGGCTGTAGATAGGACAGTGTTTACTGGCCACTTTTCTTTCTGGGATTTGTGTTGTTCATGTCCTTTGCCTTTTTTTTTTTTCCTGATGTTCTGTAAGAGCTCTTCGTATATCCTGTACTGTAAACATTTTCCCCAGTCTGTCATTTGTCCTACACAAATATATGTCATCTGACCCTCAACACCATCCTCACAGTTGAGGTAACTGAGCACAGACTAGTCTCTTTTCCAGGATCACAGCTCGGAAGTGGCAGGGCAGGGACACCAACCCCCTGGCTCCAGAACTTCCTCTCTCAAGTTTTCTGCCACATAATGAGGCAAATTTAGTAATAACTTTCTAGAAAATCATAATGCAGTTTTAAAATTTTTAAATAGGGATGCCTGGGTGGCTCAGTCGGTTGAGCATCTGCCTTTGGCCCAGGTCATGATTCCAGGGTCCTGGGATCGAGCCCCCTGTTGGGCTTCCTGCTCCGTGGAGAGCCTGCTTCTCCCTCTGCCACTCCCCCTGCTTGTGCTCTCTCTCTCTCTCTCTCTCTCTCTGTCAAATAAATAAGTAAAATCTTTAAAAAATAATAAAATAAAAATAAAAATTTTTAAATAAAATAGAATAATGCATTTAAACCTTCCTTCCTCTTATAATATTTTCTTTGTATACATATCAATTTTCATTGTATGAAATGAAAATCACTTTAGCTAGAGATTTGTTGTTTTAGCATCTTTCCAAGACAACTCTTAGATTTATAAAATCTACCGTTTTCCTGTCTTCTAATTCTTTAACTTTTGCTTTTTTTTAAATTATAGATCCCAGGGTCCTGGGATCGAGTCCCACATCGGGCTCCCTGCTCTGCGGGAAGCCTGCTTCTCCCTCTCCCTCTGCTTGTGTTCCTGCTCTCGCTATGTCTCTCTCTGTCAAATAAATAAATAAAATCTTTAAAAAATAAATTATAGATCCCTGTTTTTCTTAGGTTTGCTTTGTCAATATTAAAAGGAACACAGTAAAATTTTTAAAAATTCTTCTTAAAAATGTAATGAAAGTGTTTAGCGTTTTTCTCCCACTATAACAGTGATTTTCAACCAGCATGAGAGTGGGGAGGGAGGCTCATTATAATCTGCTTAGAAGACTTGTCCGCAGATATTTTAATATTCTCTTTGCCTCTCTCTTTAATTGCCCACCCCACCCTGACCTTTGAGGATTACACTGTTTATTGATAGTGCTGTCTAATAGGTGTGTGTTTCCCTTGTCAGAAAAAAACTGAAGTTTTAATCATATCCTATGTCTTCATATAATAATCTTATTGTTATTAATTTAGAATACACATTGGCCTTATTTGGGGGACATGCTTTTTAATATTAAAAAGTTAAAGTGTTTTGTGTTATTTTTTATTTTTAGCTTTGTTGTCTTACCTATGTAATTTTTAAGTTTATTGCTATTTTGGTCTGGTTTAAAGTGCTTAAAGTGTAATAGGCCACATGTTGACTCAATGTACCAAATGTATAAAGCATTGACTGTTGTCCTTGAGATAGAGCATCACATGGATGCCCAGCTATGGTACTGAGTAGGATACAGTTTCCCTGGAAAGGGGGTCATGGAATAAGCTCCAGGAGAGTTTTCTTTGCTGTTGAATGCTAACATTTAGTACTGTGTTTGGTTTAGTACAGATTGTTGAATGAATGAAAAGAATTGCTTTTTGCCAAAGGATAGGAGCTTGGATTCACCAGTGTTAACAACAGAGGTCCCTACACATTTTCCATACACTCCCAGTTTTAGTGCCTATAATTCCTGCTTATCACGTTTTGTTGTTTGTCTATATGAACTGTTTTTTTAAGGATTTATTTATTTATTTGGGGGGAGGGGCAGAGGGAGAGGGAGAAAGAGAGAGCCTTAAGCAGACTCCACACTGAGCACGGAGCCTGACGCAGGGCTCGATCCCACGAAGCTAAGACCACGACCCAAGTGGAAACCAAGAGTCCAGTGCTCAAATGACTGCACCATCCAGGCGCCCCTGTATGAACTGTTTTCGAAACAGTTTTTATTTTTGTTTTAGCCTTTTCTCCCCCTTTATGCTTACTTTGAAGGCTATAAATGGCTGTATTTTTTAAGGGACTTAAAGGCCCCTGCTTTAAAAAACATACATTTGAGTAGTTACAACAGTAATAACAGTGAACATATACTGAGCACGTGCATTGGTTAAGTGCTTTTTTTATGCATTATCTCAGGTCGTCCTTAAAACAGCTCTCAGGGGGCGCCTGGGTGGCTCAGTTGGTTAAGCATCTGCCTTCCGCTCAGGTCATGATCTCAGGGTGCTGGGATCGAGCCCTACATCCCCCGCATTGGGCTCCCTCTTCAGCAGGAAGTCCGCTTCTCCCTCTGCCCTTACCTCCCCACCCCGCTGCCCCTGCTTTGTGCTTGCTCGTGCGCTCGCTCTCTCTCTCTCTCCCTCTTTCTCAAATAAATAAATAATCTTAAAAACAAAACAAAAACAAAAACCAGCCCTCAAGAGGTTAAGTGACCTGCCTAGGTCACAGCTGGAGATTGGCAGACTAGAGAGTTGTACCTGAGCAGCCCAGCTCAGAAACTGTAGTCATAACCCCATCTCAAGAAACTTTGTAAATCAGTGACACTAAGCTTTTACGAACATTATAAAATATCTTCAGATTTTTTTCATCTTATCCAGCCTTTTTTAAACGAACATTTAGTATTTTTCCTTCTTCCTTGTTTGTGGTATAAACTTTTATGTGTGCGACACTTCTATTTTATAATGAAAGAAAATTATATCTAAATCCCAGAAATTAATATGTCCTCATTTGTATGAAGTATAGGATAGCATCATTTTTAGATGTTTTCTAATCAAGCTCAGACTGTTCACTATTTTAAACCTTCTGATCAACCAAGGGAGGAAATAAGCAGGAAATTTGGCAGTGAGTCAGAGAGGATGACAGAAGGGTTATTTTAAACATTTTTATGGTAAAAGCTGCAAAAATATTGATGAACTGTGTCCATATGTTGGAATAGACATTTAAAACTTGACATTGTACCTCTTTATTTAAAATATTTTTCTGTTAAGTTATACACATTCATTTGTGTAATTTTGGAAAAATGACTAAAAGCCCAAAGAAACAAGATAAAAGAACTCACAGTCCCAGTCCCCAGAGGAAAACATTGCTGACATTTTACAATATTTATGTCCATAATTTTATTTCTGTATATATAATTTTTTCAAAATGAATATACCCAGTTTTATGATTTGTTCTTTTTCCTTTAAAGTATTTCACTGTGTCTCATTTGAAAATATTATAGAAATTTTAAGAACAGTGATTTTACCCTTCTCTTCCTCCATCTACCTTTAAAGAAGCTTAGTTAAAAACCCATTTAATAACCTTCTCAAAATGGCAAAATTATAGAGATTGAGAACAGATTAGTGGGTTCCAGGAGGTAGGGACTAGAGTAAGGAGTGGGTATGACTATAAAGGAGAACAACAAAGGGGTTCTTTGGTTTGACGGAACAGTTCTATATCATTGTCACAGTGGTGCTTATGCTAACCTATACATAGGATCTAATTGCGAAGAACTGCACACACACATACACACACACACACACGTGAGTGCATGTGAAAACTGAATAAAGTGTAGTTAACAATATTGTAACGGTGTCAGTGATACTGTCCTATAGTTGTAAAAGATCTTAACCATGGAGGGAAGCTGGTTGAAGGTTCCCAGGACTCTATGTATAGCAAATTCCTACGATTTCATAATTACTTGAAAATAAAAAGGTTTTCAATCTATAGAAGGCAAAATGAGATTTTAAAGAACAAATGAGTATTAAAATGCAATGTAAAGAATGCTAAGTAGAAAACCAGCAAGCCTGGGTTCTGACCTTGGGTTTGCTGGTAGACCTCTGGCTAGCCTCTTAACTTCTGGGCTTCATTTTCTTTTCTGTAAAACAAGAAAATTGTGCTATAAAATCCTAAGACCCCTTCAAGCCCTGATATCCCACAAGGTGTGTAGATTTTTGTAAATCTGCAAGTTTGCCAAGTATAGAATGAATGTCAGTGAATGTTAGATGTAGTCCAGAAGTTAGGGTTTGTCTAACCTTGCAACAGACAAGAAGCCTATTTCTGTTTCTGTCTGTGTCTGTCTGCCTGGCACTGTAATAGACATTTGGTGATACAGTGACCTCAGGATGGTAGAGGGCACATTGAAGCACATAACGTCTGTGTTAAATTACAGAACAGACAGTGTTTGTTTACATGCTGCAGTGTGTGATACGGACAATAGTTGCTACAGGAATCTGGAAGAGATCCCTGTAGGCTTCCACACAAGGAAGAAGTGGAACTCAGGTGTATGAATATACTAGTTTTATCATCAAGTGCATGGACCGGATTATATCTCTCATACATATTTTGCCATTATACTGGATTATATCCACTCATCCCTCTTTATTCTGCCTCTGAGTTTCGATTTACTCTATAATTTGAGCTGTTGGGTTAATAGATGGTAAATTCATCTAGATTTACTTGATGTTTTCTGCTTTTCTCTTTTTTTCTCTCCTTGACCCTTTCTTCCCCTCCAACCAACTCCAGCTGAAAAAAGGAAGGGTGGGCAGACTGTGGATTCTAGCCTCCCACTTCTCAGTGTATCTGATCCTTTCATTCCTCTTCAAGTACCTGATGCACCAGGTAGGTAAACAGAACTGATCTGAGGTTAAGCAGCTTGATTCTTATGTCCCAGGGTCTCATGAGAGTTGTTTAAACACTCCATAAAAAGGATGTGAATTCCAAGCCCTAATAATAGGTGCTGTTATATATTTTTTGATAACGGGAACAGCCTGTGTATTAGAAGGAACATTA